ACTAATAGATTCACCAAAATGTAACATCACTAATCCCCTTCCACCAAAGGCTGCTCCAATTCAGAAATATGTTGAGTTCTGAAGTGCCCTGCACTTGATATGCTGAATTTCGTCTGTTCTTTACAATTAATGGGCAGATTATTCGGTGCACGGGCTATTGAAGAACTCTCCACACCAACAAGGCCTTAGTCTTGCTGGGCTTTGGGTTATTCATCTGCTCACTGGTATCTTTACATATGAGGATGTGCAAGAAAAGAAAGGAAAATAACTTGCTTAATATCTTTTTCCACATTAAATTTTAATAAGGAGGGTAGAAGTTATAAACTAAATTGAGGAGTCTGGATTGCCTGTCAATGTCATCCGTCAACAGTCCCCACAGCGCATGCAAGTCCCATGTAAATCAGCAGTCAGCTCAACTGGTAGGACATCCCTGTCTCAAAGCTTTGCGCAAAGACAAGAGACGGGGTGATGGAAGAAAATCTTTCTCAAGTGTGGGACCTTCAAGGGGGCTTTATCACACGCGGGACAGACCGCGCGAAACGTTTCTTCCTGGTCACTGTTGGCTGCATCGGTCCACTTTACAGGTGGCGGTCCCTCACACATTGGGCGCAGTGCGACTGGATGACTCCGGGGCACCCGGGTCCCCATGTCCCCGCTCCGGGCTCCTCCTGACTTCTTAAGAAAGCAATGATGCGCGAGCTGGGTGCCTAACGAGCAGCAGTCAAGGGAGCTGTCCCAGCGAGAGAAGGACTGCGGGGCAGTCTGACAGACGGGGCCCAGCGCCACAGGGGTCCCCGCGGGCTGCCCTGACCCCCGCGGGCCGCCGTAGGTCCCTGCGGCGCCGTGAACCCTGCTGGCCGCCGTAGGAGCGCCCTCCCAAGGCCGCGCTCTCAAGATGGCTACCGGGCTCCGCTCCCTCCGGCGCCCTCGCTGAGGTCCTGGCTGCGGGCGCCCGGCGCAAGCTTGGCGTTGCGGCGCCAGCGCAGCCGAGCGGCCGGCCGCCGCTCCTGCGCACGCCGTCTGTCGGGGCGGGGCACTGGGCCCCTTCCGGGGATGGGCCCCGGCGCCCGGGTCGGCCCGACTCGGCCCCGGCTCCTCCCCGCTCGGGCGGGCGCTGCGCCGTGTCCCCGCCTGTCAGTCCGCCCGGCCCGGCTGGCCGCAGACGGGGCCTGGGCGGCCTCACTGAGAGCTCTGAGCCCGCGGGCGTCGGGAGGTGTCAGCGCTGCCGCTAGCCTGCGGTGGGTCCTGGGCTGCGACCCGACCGACGCGAAAAGGCGGCGGCACCATGTTCTCCCTCAAGCCACCCAGACCCACGTTCAGGTCCTACCTCTTGCCACCGCCCCAGGTAAACAACCCCCTCCCCGCGAGCGCCCCTCTCCTTGGCGCTTCCGGGGAGCCGCCGGGCCGGCCCCCGGGAGCAAGGGAACCCCGGGAAGCTACCCCGTCTCCCTGTCCCCAGCCTGCGGTTGCCGGAGCCCCGGCGCGAGGAGACGCACCTTCTTGGGAGCCCCCACTGACTCGGTAGAAAGTTGTAAGACTGCCGCAGCCATTCTCTGCCTGGAGACCTGTGGTCCTTAGTTTTTCGGTGTGATGAGACCCAAAGGAGCGTTCGGAGCTGGATTCCCTTAGCTCTTCGCTCCCCACTGTGACCGCCAGCATGATCACTTCGCTTGTGGGCACCTGGTAGGAGAGGCTACTTATCTGCCATAAATCTGAACACCTGGAAGCGGCATAGGTAGTTATAATATTTTTGTTGTCAGACTCCCAAGTCGATAATGAGCAGATCTTAAAAGACCTCGGTAAATATGTGAAAGAATTTAAGGTGGGGGGTACAGAATCCGTGTCTGTCACGTATATCATCATTTAGAAAACAAAATTTGCTTTAGTATCTCACGAGAGGGAAAAAGTTTTAATTTTGACTTATTTTGCTAATATATTTCAGACTGACGATAAGATTAATTCGGAACCGAAGATTAAAAAACTGGAGCCAGTCCTTTTGCCAGGTAAACAGAGTTCTAACAGATAGTTTAGTAATGTGTTTTGGTCGCAGGTTATTCTGCCGACTAGTACCATGTGGTTAACTTTTCTCCTCTATTTACTTTAAACGTTAGCAAAAAATGTAACGACTGAGGGGGCAAAAGAAAAAGTTGGTTAGAACTAAACAGCATTAAAAAGTAATGATGAATTGGTGTTTGTCCTTGAAAATTTAAGCATCATAGAAAACTGTCAAGAATATCACTACCTCATTTCCTTTTTGGTCTTCTGAAATGTTCTTTTTTAAAGCAATGATTAATTGCTTAGGTAGTGAAAGTACTCTGCCCTTGATGTCCGTCTGCAACTTCATGCATTAGTGATTAATAGTCAAACCATTATTTTGGTAGTATGAAAAGCAACTTTTATTGTGTCTGGGTCTTTATACCAATAACAAAGCTTAGTGAACTTTGGATTACTTACTTGGCAGTTGTTTTTTGAAGGTGTCAGCTGTGTTTGCAAATTTACTTGTTTCAGTTCAGAATGGAGGCTCCCAGCAGAGGCACTGTTGACATTTTGGACCAGATAATTCTTTGTTGTAGGGGCTGTCCTGTGCATTGTAGGATGTTTAGCAGCATCCCTGACCTCTGCTCACTAGATGCCAGTAGTACCCCCTTCTCCATCTCCTGGTTGTGACGGAAATGTCTCCAGATTTTGCCAAAACTTTTTTTTTTGCCTCTGGGGCAAAATTTCCTCCCAGTGGAGAAGCGCTAATTTAGAACATAATTATCTCAGAGGACCTTGGACGTAGAGGCAGGGATTGGTGGTAGATAGGAGTTTAGTTTTAAAACATATAAAGTATTATTTTATTGATATTTTGAATTGTATAACAACTGTCTAATAATTAGGAAAAGAGTTTTTTACTATGTTTTTTGGGGGAAGTAGCCAGATTCTTAGGAAAGCCTGTTTTAACCTGAAATATAATCAGATGCCAGTTTGTATGGCCACTATCAATATCTAAAAATCTCAGTCATTACTTAATGCTTAATCTACTAAAATGATAGAACTTTATGGGTAGTAATTGAACAAATGGAGAAACTTTAAATTTTGTGCTTTAAATTTTTAAATATTGAGTGGGAACAAACACATTAAAAACATCGATCTGTGGTTCCATATTATAGATGCCAAGTCTTAAAAGTTGTTTTGAACTTTATTATAGGAGTTAGTTATAAATGTTTTCTCTTGATTTTTTTAATGCTTTTTAGCCAAACTGTGTGTGCTAAATAATCCTTTGTACTTTTCCTCAGAGTGAACAATAGCATTAATAAGTAACCTTTGCTCCCGGTGTGTGTGCTGTTAGTGTTAGTCACTCCAGGCATTGAAAAGTCAGCTGTGGGAAAGAGTTCTCCTCCTAAGTGAATGCCCGTGAGCTCTTGAACTGTGGCTCCTTTACTTTGTCTGAACAGGCCCCGTTCTTAGGCTTTGATTCCCCGCTTCTGACATTATGATTTGACACTAATAAACAACATGGTTTTTGCTACAAAAGGTAATGCTAGAGTTTTTTAACTTAACTTTGGTATTTAAAGTATGCTTATGAAAAGTGTTACTAAATGTCAGTAAGCTTGAAGAACTTTACAATGAAGGATTATCTGTTCTGTAGAATTAACTAAAAACTTACCTTTCTACTAAAAAGTCAGAGTTTTCTGGGGAAGATGTAAACCCATTTCCTGACTGTAAGTGGTTGACTTGACCTGGAAATCACAACTAAATCTGGATCTTCTAATCGGCCTTAATTCTTCTTGCATCGGCTCTGTATTTGCACACATATGGCTCTGGCACCCAGCGTTCTATTTGCCCCTACCCTATTCCTTATAGAATATTTAAGCAATCCTAAATTAGTGTGTCTTTTGCCTTCCTTCCTGACCCTTTCTATTCTTACCTTCTTATCCTGGCTTTCTCACACTCTTCCTGGTTTCTTTATGTGATAGCCTCCATTTCCTGCTTCACCTCTCTTGTCGCATCTCTGACTACTGCTGGAACCTCTGTAGCTTCTTCTTTGGCCTGCGGTCTACTACTCTACCCATGAAATCTGGAAGACAAGTGGAATGTAACTGAAGCATTGATGATGTAAAGACCTGGGCTAGGCTAGGGCTTTCCTTAAGAAGGCTTAATAATATGGTTCTGGCCTTCAATACAGTGAGAAAGTAGGAGAAGACTTAGCCAGGTCACCTGTGGCTTTACACAGGCACACAGAACAAGTAATTGTTCAGAGCTAGATCCTTGCATGTTATGCTTTGCCATGTAACACCTTGGGTTCTAGGGTATCCTACTTAAGTTGCCCAAGATTTGAACTTTTAGTCCAATAAGCAGGTGAAAATTAGAATGCAAAATTGTTTACTTGTTTGCAGTTACCCAGTGCTCTGTTGGAATTTAACAAGGCTAAGTTTAAAATGATCTTCATCTTTTATTAAACAAAGACAACAGAAGAAACTGACTAGTAATTTAATTTAGATTGTGGTTTATGTTAGTAATTTTCAATTTCCCTGGTTCATGAAATTCCTTGAGATGGAGATTGTACCTGATTCAACTTTGTGGCTCTTATGTCTAAGATAGTGCATTGAGATGTTGATTGAGTGAATGACTGAATGCAAGGACCCTTCAGACTACCTGCTTAAATTGCTACCATAGCCGTGCATACGCACAGACCAACTCTCAGATTTAGTAGTAAGAGGAAGACTGATTTTATGCCATGCATCTCTGCTCTCTCCTAGAGCCACACTTCTCAAGAAAATTATATGTGAGTCTGGAAGTGAAATATAGTACCCTCTCAAAAGTAGCTAGCCTCTTCCTAGGCTTTCTCTTCAACTTCCCATCATTACATAAATCTCATTCTTTTAATGATTGTGTTGCATATGTGTAAAATTACCCTAATCCTTTTGAAAATAAGGACAGTATGAATTTTAAAATGTCTGTGTGTGTGTGTGTGTGTGTGTATGTTCCAGCATGTACTTGTTGAGAGCAAGTACTGCCAGGCTATGCTCATGTCTTTTTTGATAGCTGCTGGACTGGTGGATCAGTTCAGTGAGCATGTCAGTATCTACTGGATGCCTGGCTCTGTGCAAGATGTGGAAAGTGCTGGAGGAGTAGTGTGCCTGGATCGCAGCAAGGCCTGCCTGTAGACAAGGTAGAAGATTGTGACCTGGACCTGTGGTTCCCAAATTGCAGCCAGGGCCTGGCTGGCATCAGACCTGGATGAAGTTTTTGCCAGTCCTTGGTCAAATTGAGAAAATTAAGAAAAATGCATCTTTTTTCATAAAGCTAAATAGATTTGATTTAAAGGAGTGTCCTTTATTCTGAGATTATGTCCTTCCAACTTCATTGGTGTAGAATGTTCTTTTGTTAAATGATGATAGTAGCTGCAGCTTTAAAAAAGTTAAGTTAGAAAATAGTGGGTTGAGAACCTTTTACTGTTGGTTTCCTGAATTATTTTTGTAGTATACCTGGTTTGTGGAATATAAACTGGAAGCTACTTGATGAGATTATTATAATATTATAGGTACAATTTAATGAGCACTCACACAGAGAACATCAGTTATTTTGTCTGCCTGGAAGTCTTTCTGCTGTTTTCTGAAAATGTTCACTCCCTCTTTTGACAAATGGTCTTCCCCATCTCCATCCGGCCTTGGGTTCTAGTGCGGCCAGCAAGGATAGTAACCCACCTCCTGGCTGCAAGCACGAGCACAGGTCTGCCTCTGGATATTTTCAGGTTGGTGTTAAGGGAAGAGATCCTTTTTGGTAATCCTGCCAGTGGCCATAGTTCCAGAAAACCTGTCCAAAAGAGTGAAGTCACACTTTGAAAGATGCAGAGGCAAAACACCAATGAAGAGTTCTGATGGCGTTCAAGTTCCTGGGTTCCGTTTTCCTTGAAGTCCAACTAACACAAAAGCCACAGAATTCTTTTTGCTAAGCTAGCTCCAGACGTGGTTCTGACACTTTCAAGTGAGATCCTTAACTAATATATAGCTTACGGGTCATTCTTCATAACAACCCTATCAGGTGGGTCCCAATTTTATCTTTATTTGGCAGATGAGAAGCTATAGTTGCCAAGGTTAAGTGACTTGCCCAGTGTTGCACAGCTGCTAAGGGCAGAGCCAGAATTCTGAGCTTGATTCCCAGGCTGTGCCTTTACCACTAAGCAGCAGGGCCTGCCTCACTGTACCGGTGACACTGAGGTGCAGATTTATGCTTTGGAACTGGATACAGGGTGGATTGGATGTCAGCGTAGGGGGAGTTCTCTAGTGTGGTAAAGGGAGTTCTGTCCTTGGCTCTGCCCTTTCCACAGCAGTGACAGATTTTGACCCAGCCTGAGGAGGAACTTTCAGACAATTTTAGCTGCGAGAAAATGGAATGTGTTGGGAGGCAGTGGGCTTCCTATCGCTGGCTGTGCTGAAGCAGCGGCTGGTGGAATGCCAGCAGCCTTGTCTTGAGGATGTGAGATGTGCAGTGAGTTGGGCTCAATGGCCTTTTCTCTCTTCTAACTCTGGGGCAAGGTCTTTTTAAGGTATTGTGAGATGGGAGGGAGAATGAGTTGAAATGCTGTGGCTGACAATAATGAGCTAATTCTTTAGCAGATATCGAAGGCATGTTGCATGCTGCTTGGTAGACGAGTAAAAGGCTGAAAGATAGGGTCCTCCCTTTAGACAGTTTCCTTCACTGAGGAGGTGCTTCAGTAGAGGAGAACAGAGGTTGTGAGAGCTCAGAGGAAGGTCATCAGACCTTGGGGTAGGGGTAGGGAGGTCAAGAAATGACTTGTACTCTGAATCTTAACTGCCTGCTAAGCCTCAGCCACCATGCTAAGGCTGTGTGTCTGCTCAGCTGTTTCCCTCTTCCCATCTACAATGCCAACAGCCCTTCCATTATTGAGGTTAGGTATTAGATCGATAATGAATGCACTGATTGTCAGAGTCTTTTATAATCAGAAAAGCATATGACCATGAGCCATCTGGAAAATGAAAATAACCATTGTTGGATAGATGTCTTGTTTGTTTTTCTTACATGTTTACTCTTTGGACCATGTATGCACTGTTGTTTTCTGACTTTCTGTGAGCCTTACTTCCTCAATTGAGTTGTGAATCCCTTAAAGGTAAAAACTTTTTCTTTGGAGTGTTTTACGTTTTGTTTTGTTTTTTGTTACCTTTTTGTAGCTGGGCTTTAGAGATGATTGTAGACTGATTTTTGGTAGTATTTTAATTCATGGATATGTTGTTTTTGAAAGACCAGAGGACTTGTAACTCACCCTTGGAACCATGCACAGTGTTAGTGACTGCAGTGTCTTAGCATTAGGTTTATACCTCCTCCAGAACCTTCTGAGTGTTTGGAGCTGTCCGCTCCATAGGCTGCTGCTGCAGTCCCTTAGGCCAGCGTTCTGCTCCTCACCTCCTCACTGCTCACTCTCAGTCTATCCGTGCCTTGCAGCTCCTGCTCGGAAAGTCTTCACAAGCCTCCGAAAATAAAATCCTAATTAAACAGAGTAAAATCCGAGTTCTTTAACCTCTACAGTTTGCTAGCACTCCACCTTGCTGACCTCTGCACTGTTTCCCAATATTGATATTTGTTTCAGTCAGGCTGTTTCCTTGTTCTTTCCCGGATGCCTTTTCCTTATTTAAGACATTGTTCCTGTTGTTTTCGCACATTCTCTCTAGCTCAACCCTCTCTGCCTTCAAGATTTCCTTTTAGTCTCTTCCTGAGGTCTGCACTGTTAACCTTCTTCCTGCCCCCATCATGGGTGGCATTTACTGGACATGGCACTGGATTATATGCTTTTTTGTATCGCATGTGATCTGTGGAATTGGACCCAGTTAGTACCAGTGATGGCATCAGGCATCTTGTAAACACAAATGTCTCCTACATAGCTTCAACTTCCCTTAATAACTTTTAGGCCATTTTAATTCCTGAATTTGTCTACAGCTGAGGTGGCAACTGGTCTCAGTTTGCCCGTGACTGTCTGGTTTTAGTGCTGAAAGTCCCGCATGCCAGGAATCCCCTCAGTCCCAGGGACCTGCGACAGTCAGTCATTATTTGTACTGGCATGGAGTGAGTTATACTTTTGGCCTATATGTGTTCCCTAGGTTAATTAGCCACTGTGCACAGTGAGGCTTTGTCTGAAACTATTTTCCATGTTAAAATTTATGGGAAAATTATTTTTATTTATCAAACATATATTGACTTCCTAAATGTTTGAGGTAGGATGACAGATAATATGACATAATTTTTTGGTTCTCAGGGAATTAAAAACTTTCCTAGCTATACCATTTGGAGATTTACTAATTTTAATATTTCCTTTCTTATTTGTCTTTACAGATGGAAGGGTCTTGAGAAAACTTTGATGATTTCTTGATTCCTTCCCAGGTTGTAGTAGAAACTCTTGGCCCTTCATCTCTAATTTAGATAGTTTTTTCTATGGTGCTTTTTGCTCACCTCACACTGAAGCTAATTTCCTACTTTCTTTATCTTCCGTGAGGCCTCCCTGTGGCTTCCCACCAGTGCTGTGGTGGAAAGTGCTTGGTGGTGAAAATCCTCCCATCACGCTGATGGCAGGCTGTCAACTTGACGGCACTGAGCGCAGAGCTGGGAGAGATGAGCTCTGTCGTTCTTGTGAGCCACTGTGAGCCATCTCACGCACCACTGGCTCTACTGCCTAAAAGTGCAGGAGAGTCTCAGTGAAAACTCCATGGTCTTCTGGAGGTTTGAAGCTTTTGTTATGAGTTCCCTCCTCAGGTCACTAATTGAAAATGTAGCAAGAGCAGTCTCAGTGCTCTTCTATTTATGTATCTGTCCTCTCTAGGAAGAGGCCACTTTGTGTCTTCTTTTTCTTTCCCATCTTTAAACTGGTTTTCTGGCTCATGGTGTTGAACTACATGGTGGTGGCTTATGACAGCTTCTACCCAGTGTTCCTTCTTTTTTATAGAATTATAAGCAGAAAACTGTTCTGTGAGCCGACAGTTTGCTACATGATCCACATATTTTACAGACTGGTTCCATGTGAACAAAATTTGGTGTTACCAGATAAAACTCAAGCCGGGTTAACTTGACACTTATTTAATTGTATGCTTAGAATAATAAGACCCAATGATAGCATCTCCCCAGAAACAGCCTCCTTATCTTCCTCCCCTCTCTCTCTTCCCTAGTTCTCTTCTTTCTCTCCCAAGGGCTCATTTCTCTTCTCCACTCTAAGAGAAAGTTGCATGACACTTAATTTTCCTTAAAAGACCACGGCCCAGAGAGTCCCTATTTTACTTTTGTTGTTGCTAATTTTGTATATCTTGTCGACTTTTTTCTTAAGTAGTTTTATTTTTAAACAAACTTTGATTTATAAAAGCATTGTATAAAAGAGTATAGATAGTTAACATATACTCTTCACCCAGCTTCCCTTATTGTTAGTATCGTATATAACCTTGGTAAATTTGTCTGAACTAAGAAATTAACAATAGTGTTAACTTTTGTTTACATTTCCCTAGTTTTTCCACTAATGTCTGTTACCTGTTCAGGATCCCATCCAGGATACCATATTGCATTTAGCCATCATGTCTCCTTAGTCTGTTCAATCTGTGACAGTTTCACCATCTTTACTGATGGACTGATGAATTCTTTCATGTTGGCTCTTAAATCCTTTTGAAATGTCCCCTCTCTCCCTCTCTCTCTCTGTTTTTTCTTTTTTTTTTCCTCTTCTTTACTTCCTGGCATTCTGGAACTGCCAGAGGCTCCGGACTCATCTCCTCTTTCCTCTGCCCCAGCCCTGTAATCAGCCATTTATCCAAGGAGCCCTGGTTCCTTTTATTGCAGAATGGTATTTAAATACCAAGATCTGAATGCTGAATGTGCTTTGTTGCTGGAGTGCCATTGCTTTTAGGCCTTTTCAGGGGCAGAGTAGAAAATACACACATCTGTATTAACCCATGTGTACACACATCTCTTTTTGTTTCTGTATCGCTCCATCTGTACATATATTAAGATAAACCTGAATTCATGCTAATATGTCAGGCTCTACTCTAGACCAACAGATTAGAAAAGGACCCCCCAAAATTTTTAACAATACCACAGCCAACTCCACCACTCAAAATTAACACCAAATCCCCATAAAAAGGCGAAGGTTTTGAAGAAAAACCTGCAAAACTAATCACAGAGATAGTACTCAAAATAAACACAATACATATCATCATTATTCCCACATGGAATTTAACCACGACCAATGACATGAAAAATCATTGTTGTATTTCAACTACAGGAACACTAATGACCAACATCCGAAAATCCCAACATCTGAAAATCCCACCCACTAATCAGAATTATCAACCACCCCTTCATCGATTTGCCAGCCCCATCAAACATCTCATCGTGATGAAACTTTGGCTCCCTCCTAGGAATCTGCTTAATTCTGCAAATCCTAACAGGCTTATTCCTAGCTATACATTACACATCAGACATGATAACTGCTTTCTCATCTGTTACCCACATGCTGAGATGTGAATTACGGATGAATCATCTGCTATCTCCACGCCAATGGAGCATCCATATTCTTAATCTGCCTTTTTATTCACGTAGGACAAAGCCTTTACTATGGTTCCTACACCTTCCTAGAAACATGAAACATGGGAATCATTCTACTCTTTACAGTAATAGCCACTGCATTCATGGGTTACATCCTACCATGAGGCCAAATATCCTTCTGAGGAGCAAAGTCATCACCAACCTCCTATCGGCCATCCCTTACACTGGCACCAACCTCGTCGAATGAATCTGAGGTGGGTTCTCCATAGACAAAGCCACCCTCACCTGATTCTTCACCTCCACTTCATCCTACCATTCATTATTACAGCCCTGGTAATTGTACATTACTATTTCTCCACGAAACAGGATCCAGCAACCCATCAGGAATCTCATGCGACATAGAAAAAATTCCATTCTATCCCTACTACACAATTAAAGACATCCTAGCATTCCTGCTCCTGATTCTATTTTTACTCACCCCAGTCCTGTTCTCGCCTGAGCTCCAAGGAGACCCAGGCAATTACACCCTAGATAATCCTCTCAGCACTCTCCCACGTATCAAGCCAGAATGATATTTCCTATTCACTTACGCCATCCTGCATTCCATCCCCAACAAACTGGGCGGCATACTAGCCCTAATCTTTCCCATCCTAATTCTAGCAATTCGCACATCAAAACAACGAAGCACAGAGTTCATTCATAGATTTGTGATTTGTTTTGCTATTTTATGATGGAGCATGGGTAGTAGAACAGTTAGAAGTGGGCTTGCAGCACTTTTGCTGAGTGCTGCAGCTCACTGGGGGGAAAAGAAAGGAGTCTTTTGACTTGATTCTCACAGACGCATTCCAGGAGGAACATTGTCGGTCCTCATCACAGCTGAGTGGGCCTCTAGAACTCTCTGAGAGCACCAAACCATTATGGATTGAAAATACCTGCCCTCTGACAGAAAGAGCCTAAAATGCATCTTCTAAGCCTATTTCACATAATTTTAAGAGTTGTCACTTAAGTTTCCATCCCTAGCACAGAAGTCGACAAGCTTTCTGTGAAGTACCAGACAGTATATGTTTTAGACTTTGTGGGCCCTAAGGTCTCTGTTGCAAGTACTCAGCTCTTCCTTTGCCCCGTGAAAGCAGTCAGACAGTACACAAACGAATGGGTGTCGCTGTGTTTCAATAAGATTTTATTTATAAAAACTGAGGACTGGATTTGACCCACCGATTGTGGTTGGCCAACCTCTGGAACGATTAAATGCATTCCCCTCTGTTTATCTTTGTCTCGTTCTCACTGCATTCATGGGCTTGACATGTTACACTTGTGCCATCAGTAAGAGAATCAGGTTCTCAGGTGCTAGAGAAGGGCTGTCCCTGAGTGTGTACCTCATAAATTGGCTGATGGGACTAGTGAGGCCATAATGTCCTGTCTCACAAGCCCGTCTCTTTCTTTTGTTATCACTTCTGCTCCCCTTCTCAGGAACCTGAAGTCCTGTGCTATGGTGGTTGTTTTTTTAAGTGAACTTTTGAGTATAACATACATAAGAAATACGTATAAATCATAAGTGTTACAACTGGATGTATTTTTGTAGCGTTGTTTTGAGAGTCTTTGTTTGGATGAGTTGGCCAGTTAAGAAAAGTGGCACAGCATGAAGTGATGTAAGCCAGTAGTTTTAATATAAAGAAGTCAGTATTACAGGAATATGTCCTCTAACTATATGAATTGGGAATAATTCATTTAGCTGTTTCAAGTTAAGGGCCTTCTTATAATTGGTAGCTAAGATTTCCTGGTGCGGAGAGAGGGTTGAATATTCAGGAGCCCAGATTCTGTTATAGGAGTTGGTAAGCGTTGTGTCCAAGGAATTATAGAAGATTCAAATTTTATGTATTTGAATTATTTGATGAGTTTCAATGTATGTTTTGTCAGTCTTAATTTTTTTCTCATTAGAATCCAGTTAGGACTAGTACTTCAAATCTTTCATTCAGCTTTGGTGCTCGCTTATCTCAATACAATACGTCTAATTTTATGTAAGTATAGAGAAGCAAGTTTTGGATTTGAAATCAGAACACTTGGTTTTATGTTCCAAATTTATCTCTTAAATGTTAGGAAAGTGATTTAACCTCTTTGGTCCCTCATCTGTCTTTCTTACCTTGTGGGTTGTTTAAAGAATTGGACAGGACAAATGTTGAGGAACTCCTGTTGGTGGACTTTACAGCTCTCTGTGCACGTAGTAGGCAAGCAGTGGCAGTTCTGTGACTTTCTAACTTGACCTAAGTTTACCCCTACACCCTACAGCACTTACCTTCCAACCCTCTTGGCTGCTTGGCCGTGTTAAATGACTGGTTTCTGTTCTGTCAGGAACAGCCTCAGTTCAGTTGGTGGTAGTTGTCTGGTGAACCAGGAGTAATGAAGATTTCGTTCATTCACACATTCAGCACTCATTTATTAGGCACCTACCATGTGCTAGGCAGTCTTCTATGAACTAGGATTTCAGCATTGAGCAAAAATCAGTCCGTCTTCTACCCTCGTGGAGCGTATGATCCTGAGGGTGAGACAGGCATTAATTTTAAAAAATACATATAAAATTATACCTGTAATAAACCCTAGGACTTACAAGTATTTGATGCTGTGATTGAGGAGTTTAATCTAGGCAGAGAGGTTTAAAAAAACAAAAGGCCTTCCTGAGAAAATTAAGGGAGAAGGAAAGAATATTCCAGGAAATGGGAACAATATGTGCAAAGACCCTGGATGGAAGCAGTATATGGTCCCTAGGAGGGATTAAAAGGGTACTGGGGCTAGAGAGTGGAGTGAGGACGACAGTGGTGGAGGGCATGAGATGCAAGGCCCCATAGGCCACATGAAGGAGGCTTTTCTTCAGAGTGGAAAATTACTCAAGTGGTTTGAGGTGAGAATTTGAAATAAGCAAATTTAAATTTAATCCTCAAGTAAATATTAGGGTACTGTTCTTAAAACTAGTCTTGTTTATTTTTAAGAATTTTGAATAAAAGTTATTATTGCGACTCAAATTTATTATAGCATTTTTGTTAAGAGAGAGGATTGTTTTGAGACTGTGCTTGCATTCTTGAATTGGTAGGTGTTTTGGGCTTGTCCACAAACAGGTTCTATCCATCACTAAAGGTTAAAGGTTTTTATAATGATAGAAGTAGACAGAGTAGATCAGGACTCTAACTTTTCTACCATTGACCCTGGAGACTAATTGTGTAAAAATGTCCCAGGGTCTAGTTGAGTTTTAGATCTTGAAAGTAAAGTTTAATAATGACCAAGCTTTCAGTTAATTATAGAAAATTATTCTTTTCAAAGCACACTGTTTCCTGTATTAATTTCTTTAATCTTCACTTTGAACTCTAAAACAATATTTAAAGTTTTATTGCCAACTCAGTTATAATTTGAGTGCAGAGGGAAACTCAGTGTGGCTTTATGGAATATATTTTAAAATAAACAGATTGCATTATTAATTTTGAGGTTAAGGCTGAACTCTGTTTCTCATCCCTTACAAAAGGAATCAAAGACATTGGTTTGGGAGATCAAGTCACATGTTAATAAAACACAAATATTCCGTCAAGTAATACTTTGAAGGAGAGAGTATAGTTTATTTCTTCTCCAGGATGCCTTTCAATAAATAAATAACGAGGGGCAGTAGAGCATAGTAGTAAAGAGTGCAGACTCGGGTTCAGCCTTTTCGGCTGAACCATCTCAGACCTGCAAGCTCTCTGTGTCTCAGTTTCTGTATCTTACAAACGGGGCAGAACACACTGTTAGTGTCACCCTCATAAGGATCTGTTAACTCACAGTGCCTGGTACCTGCTAAGCCTTCAGTGTTCCTTCTTACTATCATCATCATGAAATAGTTCTTCCGGGTCCCACAGTGACTGTTGACATTTTGTGGTGTAGTCATAGCTCACACAATGATATTCTTCTTTTTTTAAAGGAGAAATTGTTGTAAATGAAGTCAATTTTGTGAGAAAATGCATTGCAACGGACACAAGTCAGTACGATTTGTGGGGAAAGCTGGTATGCAGTAACTTCAAAATTTCCTTTATTACAGATGACCCAATGCCATTACAGGTGAGTTTTATTTGTACACTGTTTAATTATATCAAGGCTTTGGTGCTAAGTGTTACATATTATTACATAAAGCACAGGTGTGGAAAAATTATAATAAAATTATTAAGAAATGATTAATATAGTATTGGAAGGTATTACAATAAAATTCAAAATAAAGTTTCAGGAGAATATTGGGACTTGAGGGGTAGAATTAGTAAGATTAAGTCACCTGGCTTTGTTTACCTTCCGTGATCTTTGCTTATTTCCTTTCAATAAGAGAGTAATTGTTTCCTTTCTTCCAAATCCTTTAACCTGCTTGTCAAAACAAATATAGCCTTTTTTATCAATCATAAAGAGAAAAACTTAATTATTTACCAAATACTCTTATAAATGCTACACATTTTACAGTATTTTTAACCAATTAGTTTTTTCCCAAAAAAATCAAATTTTAGTTTCAAATTTCAAATTTCTAGTACAGTTGGAATAGAGAAAATATTGATAAAGTTTTTCTTTAATAACCCTCTTGCTATTTTATGTTCTTAGTGGAAAACAATAGTTCCATATAATTTTGATTTTTACAAGTCCTGGCATTCATTTGATTAACTTAAAAATCCTGAACTTTTCCTCGGTTCTTATTTTCTGTTTTGATTTGTAAAGTGTTATACACTTTTACCTCCTAGGTCTTTCTTTATAATAGTAATTGTTCTCTGATTAAATATTTGAATATTAACTGTTAACTTTTGATTGAAATGTCGTCTAACTATGGTAAGTACATTTCATATAGTCATTCATTAATTTCCCAAAATACTTACTGTATATTTGTCTATTTCTTGCAGCCTTCTGTAGGTACATGTAGACTAAATATAAGGCATTTACAGATGCCCAGATGTGGAAACACTAGCATATTTGGCTGGGTTTTTCATTTTGTTTTTAGCTTCATTTTGCTCTCTGGCTCAAGACTTCACTGTAAGTGAGACACATATACCTGGAATAGCTTAAACCTAATACCACAAATAGGAAAAATAAACCAGTGCCCTACTGACAGCAGGTTAATAGGGTCAACTCTGTCCTTAGTTTGAAAATGAGTATAAAGTGTTAACAGGTTAAAAAAAAAAGAAAGAGCTATAGTTTGCCTAAATATTTTTATTTCTAGTAGACTTTTGCTCTAAAAAGAATTATATTCTGCTCCAAAATCTCCACTGTGAAATCAGGCCATGATTTTACCCATTAAAATCTGATGACCTAGGAATTGAGCCCCTTTTCCTTTGTTGTTTTAGGGACAGTTTAACAGAACTAGATATGTAAATGTTTGCCTATGCAGTGATTGATAATATTATATATAAGGATATGATTATGATGTTGTAATATACAGTTTAACCTAATTTCTTTTTTTTTCTCCTGAGGAAGATTTTCCCTGAGGTAAAATCTATTGCTGATTGTCTTCTTTTTACTTAAGGAAGATTTGCCCTGAGCTAACATCTGTGCCAGTCTTCCTCTCTTTTGTATGTGGGTCACTGCCAGAACATGGCTGCTGATGAGTGGTGTAGGTCTGCACCCAGGAAGTGAACCCAGGCTGCCAAAGCAGAGCGCACTAAACTTTACCACTAGGCCACAGGGCTAGTCCCCTAATTTCATATTTAACAATGTGGGGAAGAAAGGTGGCGAGTCCGTGAACACAGCACGTATTTCCTTCTCCTCTTGCTTTACGACAAATAAAGTATGTTCTGAGATACGATATCCTTAGAATTGTCATAGCTGCACAGGCAAAAGCTTTTGTTCTTTCCAGAGATAGTCATCAGAGTTTCTTGTCACATCTAAAAGTAAGGCTCGTATTACTATGGTGAGGTTATTGGGAAAAGAATTAACAGGAACATTATTTTTTGTTTCAGAAATTCCATTACAGAAACCTTCTTCTTGGTGAACATGATGTCCCTTTAACGTGTATTGAGCAGATAGTCACAGGTATGTGTTATCCTTTACTAGGTCTGTAAAAGCTCATTCTATTCTGGAGGTATTGCCTGAAGTATCTTGGGGTGGAATTTTATTTCTCTAGGTTTTTTCCCCTTTTTTGAGTCCCAGGAACATTAATGAAAGAAAGAGAAGTCAAGAAATTATTTTAAAATGGAGATTTAGAATGGTTAGCTTTATATTTTCTAGTATTTGTCTTCTTTTTAATTAAAATTTTAACCATTAAATGTATGTAGACGGTGCTGGGTTTTGTGGAAAGAATCATTTAAAATATCTTCAGAAGCAAAGTTAAAATGGATCCCCTAAAGTTCTAGGAGTTATAGACAAATATGAAAGATTCCAGAGAAGCAGTGTGTGCAAGTGGCTGGTAACCTTCCAATTATTTTTGGTAAGAATCTATTAAAGTGTACTAAAAAGTGAGTACCAAGAAAGAATTTTTACACATTTTCTTTTTTCTTTTTTAGTAAATGACCACAAGAGGAAGCAGAAAGTACTAGGCCCCAACCAGAAACTGAAATTTAATCCAACAGAGTTAATTATTTACTGTAAAGATTTCAGAATTGTCAGATTTCGCTTTGATGAATCAGGTCCTGAAAGTGCCAAAAAGGTAATGCTGTTAAGTCTTATGAAGTTCTGGGTTTTATACTCTAAGTACAGTTTCAGTGCTCTGTGGAAGTTCTCTTAATTGCTCAGATTTTTTTTTTAGGGGAAGTTAATCAGATATCTCCTTAATAAAGTCAAAGCCAAGAATGTTAAGAGAATTAGTTCCTTGGACTAGTTTACGGCTGCTTTAAAGTATTTTATATAATTTTTTTATCATCTCCTAAAATAACAAAAAGCTATCATGGAGAGATTAGTAAATCTTTTATATTAAGACCATTACCGACTGGTTTCTTTCTTGGTTAAAAAGATTGAAAAGATGAAGATGTATTGTAATCAAGATTTGGTAAGACTTTTAATTTAGTACCTCAGAACTTTATCAGCAAACTAAAAGCTAGACTTAGCTTATATAGGGTTAGGTAAATATATAGTTATGGGAGGGCCCTAATAATTATTAGTGCTTTAAAGAAATCTTAATTAATTTGAGTGATACTGCATAGCCAAAAGCTAGGGACTTTTTAATTGGTTTGTTTTTCGCCTGCCTTCTGGGGAATGTTTAGTGCCTACTCGTGGAGTAAGATTCAAGCGCAGAAATCCCTGCTTTTTGGATTCCACGTTTTGGCTTTGGCAGAAGAGTAAGGCTGGTGGATCTGATGCCTCCCAGGTCCAGTGTGTGGTGCAGCAAATGCAGAGAAAAATAACAGAATTTCCAGGGAAAGCCTGCTTCTGTATATTAGGAATAGAAGAATAGTGTCATAGTGAAATAGGAAGTTGCTTTCTCTCAGAAATGAGGCAACTTTTTGCACCACCAAAAAATGGGTGTATTTGTTTTCCATGGTCAGTAGGCTTACTGCAGTAAATGTTCTGTTGATATCAAAATGAGGCTGTCGGAAAAATCTTAAGGCACCTATCTTCGTATACTTTGGTGGGCCAGTGGATTTATTTTTAGAACTAGAATCAATGGTTTCTTCACAGGAAGGCAAGCATGAGATGAATATCTGAAAACCCATGACTACTGGGGCTAGATTATCTAGCAGAGTTTTGGTAGGTTCTATGGCTAAAAGTTTTCAAATAGAGTCTGTGTAACCATCTTTCATCATGCTGCATTATTGCAAATTCAACTAGATAACTTTTAAGGCCCCTTTCAGCTGTTCAGTTCTGCAGTTTGTAATTTTGGCATTTTACTAATTTGAGATTCCTATTCTTATATAGAAGGACTTTAGAATTAATTAGGTAGTAGACTATACCTAAAATATTTTAGCCAAGTTAGTTTCTTGAATTTAAGTATATACTTGTAATTTAATCACTCAAAGTATCAAGAATTTGCTTATGAAAACCTTAATTTCAGGATATATAACATCTCAACAATAGGGACATCACAGAACTTAGGGAGATTGGGTTAGGACAGGATAGTTTTTAAGCAAGAAAGATCCAGTGGCTTAATATTACTCAGAAACTTAAGTCTCTTCCACTCTCTACTGTATTTTTCAGATGACACTATTTCAATAATTGGAAATCGTAATAATTTGCCTTAGTTCTTGAGCCATCTAGAATACTTGTTGGTCATTTTTGATGTGTGATGCAGTGTGCTAAATTTAGTTGAGAAGATAAAGCATGAGCAAATGAAAATTAGATAACAATACAAAGTAGCAGTATAAAAGATGTTCCGCATAAATAGTTGCCAAATGAATGAAACGGATAATAAGTGCTCTGGAAATTCAGGATATCCTTTGTGCTGCTGGTAAGTGATAAAGGGGTCTGCACAAAACAGCCTCGTCCCGACTTCTTATGCCCCTTCCCAAGACCAACTTTCTGGCAAAAATCCTTTCCCCACTGTCTTAAATATATAAAGCATGTTACCTTGGGCCCAAAAGTACTCTGAATTTTGTACAGTCATAGGAGGGGAAACGCAGGGAAGAAAAGTAGAGACAATAAGAATATTACTTATATTCAGAAAATTTTTTCCCTGATCTACATCTTTTCAAACACAGAGGGTTAAGTCATGTGTGGCTGCTAAAGCTTAATGGTTTCAAGAGTTAAAAGTTCTAGCATACTCTTTTATTTCAAGTGAAAGTTTTCATCTAAAATTAGGTAACTGTTGGGAAGTTACAGCTTGATTTTACCTCCTGGAAACTTTGAATGCTGTTTTCTCTGGAAATACTTTGATTTTATAAGTTGTTTTAAAATGACCAGATGCATATTCAGAGTTCTCTGGTAGGTAAAATTAGTTTTGAAATACTGGAAGCGTTTCTTTTCTGTTTGAAATAGGAAATCTCGAAATGCTAAGTTTTTCACATTTTTTAAAATGTTGCTCTGAAATCTTTTGGTAGTCTAGTGGAGTTGCCTAAATTGTGTTAGGAGAAAATTAGATGAATTTGTGCTACTGCATTTATTAGCATTCATCTCTTTTAATCTTGTGCTGTCACGAGTAAATAAGGATATTTGGGAAAGGTCCGTATAAAGAAAAAAGGAATTTGATAGTGTAAAATTGGACATCTAGCCTTAAAACAACTTTGAGTCACAATTTCCTTTTGAAGAACCTTTGCTCGAAACTGAGGGGCAAAAAAAAAATAAAAAATACTGTTTTTAATGACTTACCGCTTATAAAAAGGTGTGTGTGTGCGTGTGTGTGTGTATATATGTTTTTTTTTTTTTAAGATGGTAAGTGAAATATATGCCCTTTGTCTCCACTGTATTTTCAAATTAGTTGGTTGTGAACCATTTGTTCAGGCATACTTTCTAGAAGTGAAAATTCAACTCATCTATTTAAAGAACAAGTTGGCCTTTCCTGAATTATCATTTTTGCCTTGAATCTGAAACTTACTCCTTGATGGCTTTCAGACCACAAAAGTATAGGAAACCATTTTTGTTTGCCAGTGTGCTAGATAGAACTTGATGAGGTTTCTCCGGTGTTGTGCCCCTTGCTGGTCTTAGTGGAGAAACAACCAACTGTGTGTACTTCTGCCTTCTGTCCAGACAAGAGTATCAGTCTTGGTACAAACATCACTTCAAAAGGAGTTTACTGTTTTCCTCCAGTAAAGTGTTTACCTTAATTTGATGTCTTTAACCAAGATTTTCTTCATTTCCTATGATAGCCAGGAAACGAACTATTTCGGAGGCAATTTTTAAAGACGTAGTGTTTTTCTAAAAATGTTTAATGCTTAGGAAGTACCTTACAAAATTATAATAATTTTACATGAAAATGAGACCTACTCTTTTAAGTCTTTCAAACTCTTAATGATGGAAGCTAGGAATGCGGACAGGCTTTTTTCATAGTGTGCACATAAAAGCTCAAGGCAGAGGACTCCCGGCTGTCTTTCACTTCTCAAGAAGTCCTGCAGTAACAACATGAAGGTAATCCAGATAACACAAGCTGTATGTGCCTTTGTCTGGGTTCCCTTACTCAGGTTATCTGAAATAAGTCACACACGCTTGTAATTACGCTGCTGAACAACAGCTTTAGTTCATGTGCCCGGTTCCCTCCAAAATCAGCCATTGTCCACGTGATTAAACTGACTTTTAGTTCCACAATATTTTTGGTATTCTTCTTTAAAAGTAGATGCTATTAGACCTACTCTTTTGTTTCCTAACCTTTTTAAATATGATGTGTGCTATTTTTAAGGGCTTTTTAGAATTGAGGTATATTGAGTGTTGCCTAGGAGATAGGCTTCGTTTGTTTTGTGGCCATAGGAAAACCTATTTCGTAATCAATGATCTCTGAATTTCTTTTGTGTGAACAAGGCCTGCTTTCTAAATGTCTTAGAGAAAGTGGATAGCCTAGTATTATTGGCTTGGAGCATTTTCCTTACCATGTTAGCAGCTAATTTTTTCAACTAGTATTTTTAGTGCAGCTGCTATTAAGCACAAAGCACCTTCAGGGAACTACTAAAGAGATGGCAAAAATGCACAGGTCTTCAGGTCTTTACTCAGATCTATGCAGAGAGGTCTTTCCTTGTTTCCTTCTCTAAATGATTAACCTACTCTTTCATCTCTCACTGTAGCACTTATGTCCTCTTCCCTGTGGGAGTTTTTTCTCCTTTAGCACTGATGATGATCTAACTCACTATAGTTTTTCTTGTTATCTCGCTTAGTGTCTGTCTTCTCATCAGAATGTTAGCTTACTGAGGACAGGGCTTTGTGTCTGTTCTGTTCACTGCTGCATCCCCAGGGCATAGGATATGGTGGATGCTCAGTAAGTATCTGTTGAATGAATGAGGGATGGGGCATCTACCCTTGAGAAATTAAACTTAATCGCGGAAGTAAAACAAAGAACCTGTGTCCCACTTTTTATCCACATTCATAACGTTATGTGAATAGCTTGAAAGTACAGCTACATAAACACAGTTAACTAAAGATACACTTTATATTGAATCTGTTGTTATTCTGAGAGAACAGAAGGGTTTCTGCAATTGATACTGTGAAATTGGCTCAGTCTAGGAAGACTTATGAAGAGATTAGAATAGAACAGAGATCACAATTTCAGAGAAAGCGTGATTGGCTGAGCAGTGGAGAAGGATTTCCTGAGCAGAATGTGGCAGAGGAGATGGCTGGGACTAAGTCAGGCAGAATATGTGCAAACGTGTTTTTCTCTGACCAGAGACTACTGAGGGAATATTAGGAAGATAAGGGATGCCTGGTAGAGGAGAACCAGTTTTGTGAAGACTCAAGAATAAGATTTAATTTCTTATGCAGATATCTGGGAATCAGCAAATTACCAGAGAGCAAGGTTTGTTGGTCAAAATTTCATCTTTAGAAGAGAATTCTTAAGTGTTGTGGATTTTTTTTTTAGAATGTAGAGAAGCCCACAGAGATGCCATGAGTATGACTTAAGGATGTGGCTGTGGTAGTGCAGAGAAATGGGACAAAAATGGAAAATAATCTTGAGAAAAGTATAACTAAGCTATAAACTGAATATGATGCCTGGAGGAGTAGGAAGTAATAGGGTGTTTTGAAGGTGCAGATTTCAGTAGTTTTACTGCTGGAGAAGTGCTTTAAGGAAGACTGAACAGATCAGCGATGGGAATGTAGATCACTGTCTCCTACGTTTGGTAAGTGGGACTCTCATCTAGCTCTCCTATAGGCAGTGAGAAAATCAAGATATTATATAGGTTTCAGGAAGCTTTCTTTGTTGTTGGTTTTAGTCAAAACTAAAACTAATGATGGACTCTTCTTAGTTGTATATTTTAATTTACTAAGATAGGAAACACTTATTCTGTAGAAGATTTTTAAAATATATTTTAGACAAGAAGCTGACACATGCTTACCAGTTAATAGAATTTACGTCAGTTCACCCCAAACACCACTAGTTTGACATGGACTAACAATTAACTAAACTTTTCTTGTTTACTCACTGTTGTGTGTATGTTGTTCTGGCTTAATGCTTTTTCTTCTAAATGATATTTAATCTTTTTAAGTAAGATCTACTGTTCTCTCCTGTGTGTGTCTTAAATTTCTTCTTTCTTCTTGGTTGATTTAAGAGTGTTTTCTCCCACAGAGAAACTCCCATAGTTCAGGGCTTTGGAAGCATAAGGCACCATCCTTCGTTCTATCTAATAGCAATTGAGAATAATAACCGTATTTCCATGTATGGAGCTCCTCCAGAAGCCAGGCATGTGTTAAGATTATTAATCCTTACTACAGCTGTAGGTATTATCTTCATTTTACAGATGCTCAAACTGAGGCTCAGAGAAATGAATTGACTTCACACAAATTACATGAAAAGTGCTTGGTAGAGCCAGGATGCAAGCCCTGATCTCTTTGTTTCAAAAGCCCATGCTTTTTCCACCACAGGCATAGTCTCAAACCATTTTACTTAAACACGATTTTTTTGATGTACCTCTGAGCCACCCATGTACTTTTCGATTTCTTGCTAATTTTTATCTTTTGTGTTTGTAACTTTAAGTTTAGATTTTTTTAATCCATGATGTAGGAACATTAAAATTTCATACCTTACATTATTCCTTCCGAATTGCTAGTGTTAAATCGTATTAGTCCCCCAAAAATCAAACTTTTTTTTCTTTGTTTTAGGAGTGGATATGGCACTGCCGTTTTGGAGAATGTTTCATTAGTTTTCACGTTTCGTTTATTTGAATAAAATTACTTTCCTGTTAAAATTCAACTCAGCAAACACTTATTGAATACTTATCATGTACTCACTAAAGATTAAACAGTTTGGGGGCACAACAGTGAATGAAATACCTGGCCTTAAGGAGCTCTTTTACATTCTAGGGCAACAGAAGAACATGTGAATGAGTATCCATAATCACTGCCCCACAATAATGCTCCCAGTAATGAAGGCCTTGCTGTACATTTCATTTAACTAAGTGTGTTAAAATCAAATTCTAAATGTAGAATTTTTCCTAGGTATGCCTTGCAATAGCTCATTATTCCCAGCCAACAGACCTCCAGCTACTCTTTGCATTTGAATATGTTGGGAAAAAATACCACAATTCAGGTAAATATGAAAATATTAAATATTGTGACTAACTTTACATTGTGTAAATTTTCTTTGTATGTTTATCAGAAGCCTCCAAGTACGTAACCTTTAACAATTGTAGAATTATTAGCTTCATAACTGTTAAGAGAAGTAAGCACTATATACTAAAAGAGACAATATTTGTCAGATTATTTCTTAAAAAGTGACCAAGAGGAACCTTTAAGCAGCTGTAAATATAGGCTTATAAGAATCTTGTCAAATGTTTTACCTACAGTCACTGGCTTATATTTTATGATGAAGGAAGATAGTTCCACCTGCCCCACCCCCCTTTTAATTGGTAGCTTGAGTTAAAGTAATCTTATATTTTAAGAAAACTAGTAGAAAATTAAAGGATATTTGAAATGCATGGTCTTTTTGGGAAGGTGTGATTTCATGCAAAAGCTGAAGTGGTTAAACTTTTTAGTGGACATCATTAAGATTGTCAAAATATTGACTTTATATTTCTGAATAAGATTGATGAAAGGAAGATGAGTATTTGTCCAAAGGACAAGTGTAGTCTGGGCAGTTTTTGTAAAAGTAAAATAGTTCTCTTCATGTATCTGTGTCAGCAGTGACATCACCAGGGAAAATTCCAGATGATCATGTAATTCTGTACATTCTTTTTATATACAAATGTAATTTTAATCAACTATTTTTTAAGACCTCATAAAAGGATAGAAGAAAAACAAAGAGATCCTGTCTCATATTAGCCCCTTACGGGTTAGTGACCACACATCGACTGACCTACTGAGTCGCGTATTCTCCCACTCTTTAAAGAATAAACATAAGTCACTTTCATGTTTATAATGAAAGATGCATTCTCCTCAGCATGGTCTGGACAGGGATCTTACAAATTATTAATTGTACTGGTCTTTTACATTTTCGTGACCTCAAAACATATGGTAGTAGTTTAAATAATCTGTATAATAAAAGTATATTCTAGTATCACTATATTGCAAATACATTAAGATGTAGGAACAATACATAGGATCTACAGATGCATGTGGTAAAGTACATTTTCACTACTTTAAAAGATACTTACAAACTCCATAGAGATGATATATGAAGGTCACGCTTTGCAGAATGGGTAGCTTTTGTCTTGTACTATATTTACAGAAATTGGATGAGAAAGTATTTGTAACTTAATTTTTCTTATCAAAATTTAACTAACTGTAACTTAGACTTGAGCAGTACAATTAATTTTTTTATTTCTTAATATAAAGAAAATTCACTTATTGTCAAAAAATAAAGTATTATAGATCCTGCACTGTTAGGTGAATGTTCCTTTGGATCATCAAGCTACAGACTGTGATCATCAGGGTTGTCTTCGACAAGATCCTCACCCAGAGTTGCAAGAGAGTAGCTGAAATGAAAGTTTCAAGAGGTGCAAGAGCTGTAGGAGAGATTCTTTGATTCCCACTTAAATTTATGATACAGACCAACTCTTGATACTACTTTTTTCTTATAGAAATTACAGATCCATGACTTCTGCAGTAGTGTAATGACTTGAGCTCAGCAAATACAGTAAACTTCATTATGCATTTGGTGACCCAATGCCTGCTTTTTCATAGCTTTCTTCATCCATTCCTTGTGGGCATCTTTGGGTTAATAATACTTTAAATAGCGTATTCAGCCCATAGCTCTTCTACTACTACTGGGTTTTCTTGTTTGCATCAATTAGTTCTTTGTATCTTGTTAAATATAGCTGTTGATAAAAATTGACAATTCATACTTAAAATATTCAGGAACGCTTTTATATTACATCCTTCAGATTCCTCCTCCTTTGACAAGTACTTCATAGACATAACACTTCGCCAAAGTTTTGTTAAGATTTCTCATAGGGTAACATCCTTTAATATCCTTCCATGCTGTTGCAGAAGCATAAACTGCATCTTTAAGATCAAAGGAAGCCTGAAATTTCCACACACTACAGTCAGAATTCATTAATTTGTGAGTGAAAGATGCCCAATAATCCACTCTTGAACTTCTGGATGACACCTTGATTCATTGGCTGGATTAAAGAAGTCCTTTTTGCAGGCAGGTAGGTGACAAAGCTGTTTCCACAAATAAGATCTGAAGTTAGCAGATGTCCCCTGCAGTTATCTAGCAAAAGAATCTTTTAGATGGCCTTGGGCATTCTGAGGTTTTCTTTCATATTTGGCATCACTCGAGTAAAAAACCATCTCTGAAAAGCTCACCGGTCATCCAGGTTCTCTGAGGATCCTAAAGTAGAGGGAGACGCATAGCACACAGGCTTTGGAACTTGTCTGTGCGCTGACACCACAGGAGGCACTGGCACAAACAAGAACAGTGGTTCTATTTTCTCTCTTTTAACTTGACAGAGTCCGCAATGTCCCAAAAGTACAGATTCATCTTTGTTATAAAATTGATGTCAGATTATGCTGCTGACAATTTCAAAGAATTGAAAACCACCTGAAGTTATCTGCAGCCTCAGTGTTAGCAGCTCTCCTCCGTGACAGACACTGTGCTGGCACGTGCTGTGATGCAATCTGAAGTTGTAATGTAGACTCCCAGCAGGAAAATGTACATTGCAGTGAAGTGTACTTCGTAATGTTTTCCTTTTTGTTAAAGTAGGTCTTGGTATTAGATTTTCCTTTAAATGCTTATTTGAAAACCACTTACAAAAGTACTCAGTCCATTTGAAACAGTTTAGAAATTTTTAACGTTTGTTGCTTGTCAGTTCTTTTAAGCTTCTCAGTGTAGCTATAAATGGTTGTGATTGATCCTTCTGTCTCTTGAATACTAGTGGTTCCTAAGCAACCTCGTGCATCAGAAGCCCTGGAGGAGCTTTTAGACGCGCAGCCATGCTGGCTCCGCCCCAGGCCCACAGAGCCCAGATCTCCCATTTAGAGCCACTCTGTTGGCTTACGTCTGTTGAACTTCTTAATGATCACAGTTCTGGTTTTATCTTCTTCACCCTTCTTTATGACTTCTAATTTCTGCAATATTGTCTGAGTGATAGGCTTTTTTTCCACATGTTGACCACTTTTATTGTCTTTGCCTTGCTTGAGGCCATTCTGAATATGGATGGGGCTAATTAAATGGAAACTCAGATAATTTCAAAACAGTCTAAGATAAGACTTCTGAACTGTATCACAGAAGACAGCCAAGGGCAGGAGCACTCAGTATCTCATTTCACTTAAGTTGGCTGAGGAGCTATGTCCCAAAACCTCAGTCAGGTAACTGTCAGGGGAGCCAGATCTTTCTAAGATGACTGGCTTTGTCAGTCTGTTGCTATGACCTCTATTAGTGATCCACCTGTAGAGCAGGCCACAGGCATCAAGGCCCTGGGACTTTCTGGAAAGCAGTAGAATTTCCAGACTCAAATGCCAAATTGAGTACCTGTTCCACATTCCATAAGTTCTCACTGAAGAAGATGTAGAACATAAAAAAGACCTAGTCCTGGTTGTTGAGAAATGGATAGGTTTTGAACAAGCAAAACCTATAAAATAACAAACAGTGCAAGATCCTATGGTTGCCACCACTTTATGTTCAGAAAAATTTGTTCTGTTCTTAATTAGATCTTGAGACTCTGTTTTGCCAGAGAAACAATCTCATAAATAGTAGTATATTCTCAACCTAGCTTACTAAGGTCTGTAACTTCAAAACACTAAAAAGTATTCAGTTCTAGACTCTTAGCTCGGGGTATACTGCCAAACCATTTACAATCACACATCACTTAACAACAGGGATACATTCTGAGAAATGCGTCTTTAGGCAATTTCATTATTGTGTGAACATCATAGAGTGTACTTACACAACCCTAGTTGGTATAGACTACTACACACCGAGGCTTTATGCTACTAATCTTATGGGACCACTGTCGTAAATGAGGTCTGTCATTGACAGAAACGTTGTTATGCAGCACATGACTGTACATAGCTCTGTAAAAATTTTGAGTGTGTTCTTTATACTTCTGTTTTGGGGGTTGTTGCCTCATTGTGTGGCAAGGACCTCTGATACAGTGTTGAATGGTAATGATAATAGTGGGCATCGTTTCTGTTCCTGGTTTGAATGAGGATGATGTTTGCTGTGTTTCCGATAAATACACCTTTATCAAGTTAATGAAATTCCCTTTTATTCCTAATTTGCTAATGTTTGTTTTTTTTTTAAAAATCATGAGCAGGTGTTAAAATCTGTCAAATGATTTTCTGCACTTACGACCTGATCTTATGGTGTTTTTTCCCCTTTAATTTGGTCATATGATGAATTACTTAGATTTTCTAATATTGAATAGCTTTCTCTGGTTTTTGGTGCTCTGGAACACTGTGTGTAAAGTGAGAATTGCCTGGAAAGTCCCTAAAGGTTCTACATTCTGGAGATTTACAACTCCCAAGTTCCCAAGCACACCTTCTGGTTGTTATTACCTAGAGAAGACACTGAGATAGAGTGGGGCTCTAGGATATGTGTTTAGAATTAGCATTTTAATTTTTAACAAGCTCAGCTAAAATCAGAATCACTGGCTCATTCTGATGCCACTTAAAGGATAAAATTCAGGGCCGGCCCCATGGCATAGTGGTTAAGTTTGGCATGCTCTGTTTTGGTGGCCTGGGTTCACAGGTTCAAATCCTGGGTGTGGACCTACACCATTTGTCAGCCATGCTGTGGCAGCAACCCACATATAAAGTGGAGGAAGATTGGCACAGATGTTAGCTCAGGGCTGATCTTCCTAACCAAAAAAAAAAAAGGGTAAAATTCAAAATTCCTAGCATGGCACATAGGACCCTTCATAATCTAGAGTAGCATTGTCCGGTGATGGGGATGTTCTCTCATCTGCATTGTCCAGTGTAGGAGCCACTAGCCACATGTGGCAATTGAGCCCTCAAAATGTGGCTGGTGCAACTGAGGAACTGAATTTTTAATTTAATTTTAATTTAGGTTAAATTTAAATAGCAATGTATGGCTGGCAGTTACTGTTTTGGGCAGCAAAGAGCAAGAGTCTAGGCCCCTCTAATTTTCCAGCTTCTCTTCCACCAGCCCTTGCATCCCTAATGCTCTAGCTGTATTTAATTACTTGATATTATACAATTATACCATGTTTCTTATGTTCTGCTCCACCCAGCAATGTGGTCAAGTCATGAGGCCTTTCCTGCCGCAGCCTCTGTCTCCAGTGAGAGCTCAGGACTTCTTCCTCTGGGTTCTCCTTGCACTTATACATCCAGCACACTGTGACCAGTGCTGAGCTTACCCTCCACCATCTTGTTAACACTTTCAGGACAGAGATAAAATGTTACTCATTTTTTAATTTTCGGGCCTTGGCACTTGGTCGGTTCTCAGAGAATACATGTCTTACACCAGGTGTTAATAAATAGTCTGTAGGAATGGGCATGGTATGTTCATGGGACAGTGAAGGATTTTTCATGGCTACAGGGGAGATTAGGAGTTAGAGAATAATAAGATAGAAAGGTCAGGACTTTTTTAAGAGAAGCCATTTAAGTTTGCTTGATTCAGTTGGAAAATGAGCATGATTGGAAGTTTAACACAAGAGTATAGCATCCTGAAAGCTTGTTTTTCAGGAAATGTGTCTTGTGGCAAGCGGCAGGCTGGCTTGAGTGCAGCAGAGCATCATGTCAGGGGGTCAGCTGGAGACTTGCCGCATGTGCAGCCTGCAGCAGTGAGACACCAGACCAGGAAAGATTGTGCCACCTGTCACCCCAGATTGCCAGGGTAGATCCAGCTGACTTTTGGGATGCCTTCTTTCTCTCTGGTCACTCTGCAGGCCCTCCTGAGGCTGTGGGCATGCTCCCAGAGGATAGCTGCATTTCTCAATAAGAGAAGGCTTCTTGCTAAGGAAATTCAAGTGAGGCCTTCTCTGCTGAGATCTCCACATGGGACTGGTATTCTGGTGGAGTACAAGGAACGCTTGTGAGCTTATCCAAGGAAAATTGAGTAGATAGAGGAAGCCAAGAATTTTATAATGAGCCACAGAAAAGGGTTGAGAAGTCAATATTGGAAAGATGAAAGATTTGGACAGCTTGAGGACAGAGATGATTGTTGGGTGCATTCATTTTTCCAGGCAAAATGTGGAGAAAATTAGCAGTGACTTGAATTTACCCCACAGTTTTGGGCAGGGGGAGGAGGGAAACTCATGATTGGTTTCCATAGAGCAGTAGGGATAGAAAATTGAAAGTTAAGGAGAAAGTAAATGGAGAGGAAATATGGGCAGCAGGCACCATTCATCATTTGGGAAGAGGGTGAGTAAAAGGAAATAGGGAAAATGTATAGTGTAGTAGCTAGAGTGGTCCAGAGTGATCAAATGAAAGTCTTTGCAAAATCAAATTGACCTGTTTGTGTTTGAAGGCATTGGAGATGGAGCCAGTAGAAGGACAGGAAAATCAAAGGTGCTGAAGTATTTGGGAAAAAGCTGGGTAAAGACCAGACAAAATGAGTTCTCCTCAGAGAAGAGGAGGGTTGCGTTTTTCTCAGGACTTCTTTAAAGAGCAAGACGATCCTGGAGAGACCTGGAAGGAAGATAGGGAGGAGATACCACATCAGAGTATATTTGTGACAGGAGACACGGAAAGAGGAGAAGGAAGGTTGGATGAAGTGTAATTGTTAAAACAAAATTAATTATATTGCTTTTTCTTGTAGCCAACAAAATTAATGGAATACCCTCGGGAGGTGGCAGTGGAGCTGCTGGTGGAAGCAGCCAGAAAACTCCACTCTTTGAAACTTACTCAGACTGGGACAGGGAAATCAAGAGGACAGGTGCTTCCGGATGGAGAGTGTGTTCTGTTAACGAGGGTTACATGATATCCACTTGGTAAGTCCAATTTTGACAATGCTGTTTATAGCTGGGAGTGACGTCTTATGAATAATAATCAAACTCTGCTGTCATTGATGACTTTCAAGTTACAGTTAATAGAATATTTGTTTTTAACAATGCTTTAATGAGTATTTTATTTTAAACATATGGGCTTTTTAACATAATCACAATAGGAAATTGACAATAATTCTGTACTATCATCAGTAATCCAGTCAGTATTTGCATTTGTATCTTGTAAATGTCTTTTAGAGTTGGTTTGTTCAGATCAGGATCACATTGAACTTGCTTGATCTATCTCTTAGGCCTTTTAATCAATGACAGTCTCCTCCCACCCCGTTTTCTTTACCTGCCATTTATTTGTTGACCAAACCAGGTCATTCATTCTGTAGAATTTTCCACATTCTAGATATTGCTGATTTTATCCCCATGATGTGGGGATAAAACACATTTTATCCTTCAGTGTGTTCCTGTGTCTCCTGTATTTCCTATAAAATGTTCGTTAGCTCTAGAGGCTTAATTAATTAATTAGATTCAGGTTCTGGGTTTTGGACACGTATGCTTCATTAGGTGGCACTGTGTACCTCCTGTTGCATCACATGGGATCTCGGCATCTTTGCAATGCTAATTGACCAGTGGGCCCAGCAGCAGTCAGCCTGACCCATCCAGTACCAAGTTCCCCTTATATGTAATGGATTTAGCTGCCAGAAATGGTTTTCATTAAGAGTGAGGTTTGTTGCCCAGATCATTATTTCATTAAGGATTGCTGTTGGTCCTGTTCTGATTCTGTCATTCTTTCTGCTTTCTATCAAACTTTTCTCTCATCAGCTCTTTAGTACTCTGAAATACAGTTCATACAAGAAGGGCAATATAAATGTTTACCTTTTTTCCTTTATTTAGCCAATTTTCAGAATAATGAGCTGGTTCCCTAGAATCCTCCGAAGAGTGCCCTGAAAATTGTTTTTAAATTTGTTTAATATCATTTAGTACTCATGGATTTTTTAGAATGCTTTATTTTAATGTCGTTAAGGTCTGTATTAGTCCTTGCAGGTAAGCAGTGTTTTAAAACAAAACCATACCCTGTTATTACTGGTTGATCCAGTACCAGGAACTTCTGGGATTACAGTTCTGGGGAAGGTGCTTCGGAGCATGCAACTTGGGTCTTCTGCCCCCCTTTAAACTTTGTGGCCAGCATGCTCTGGTATGTTACAGTTTGAGAAGCACAAGACAGGGGCTGGCTGGGCCTGCTTCTGTTCACCTGCCTGGCAATGTGGAGGAAAGAGAGAAAGGAGATGTCTTCAGGTGCAGTGAGCTTGCCCACCTTAATTGTTGTCTAATCAACGTCCGAGGGTCTGCCTGTCTTTTGGGGGTGGGGAAGGATAGAAGAGGGAGATAAGAAGGGAGCTAAAACTTCTTGGTAGATTTGTGGTTTTGGTTTTGTGTGCCTGATATCTCCTAACCCATAGCCTGTTAAGAGAACAAAAGTGAGTGTATTTTCAGAAACTACATACTTGTTTGATTAATAGTCATCCTGGACAATATTTCAGACATCTCATTTGAATTTTTCCTCCGCTATAAATATAAATTTTGTGGTAATTGACCATATCACACATGTTTTAGACTGAGATATGTAGGATCATCAGTGTCCTCCATGGTTTCTGTCATATGGCTACTAAGAGGGGTGCACATTCGATGGGGATAAATGTGTTTCATTATATATGGGCTCTACAGAGCACACTTATCCTGCTTAAAGTATGGGACTCTCATGTTATGATTTGTTTTTTCCCCTCCAGCCTTCCAGAATATTTTGTAGTGCCAAGTTCTTTAGCAGACCAAGATCTAAAGATATTTTCCCATTCTTTTGTTGGAAGACGGATGCCAGTAAGTGATAACTGTCAGATTTCATTAATACTGATGTCCATTTTTCTGCCCAGCTAAGTAAAGGTTCTACTTCTCTCCTAGCTCTGGTGCTGGAGCCACTCTAATGGCAGTGCTCTTGTGCGAATGGCCCTGATAAAAGACATGCTGCAACAGAGGAAAATCGAGCAGAGGTAATCAAGAAATGGTCATTGTTACTTTGGACATTTTTAATTGTCATAAATAACTATAGTGGACTCCTAATTGAAAATAGTTGGAAAATGGCGTAGTCTTATTAGCTAGTTATTCACCATATATTCTGTACAAGAATTACCATTTTGAAAAGAATGTGAATATATTAAAATTAACATTTAAGTTATACTAAATAGAATTCTTTGGCTTATAAGACACTTGAGGATCCTACATCACTGACATCTGGCTTTAATGTTGCCTTTAAGGTACTTTCAAACTGCACAGATTTCCAGTTGGGACACTTCAGGATTAAATCAGACTTTTCTTATAGTTCTTAGGTCTGCACAGTCACAGTTGTTCAAACAGTGGTTTTAATTAGCCACCACAAATAAATTTGGCATCATCTGCTAAAGTCACCAGTAACCTCCACGTCACAAAAGTAGGAGGCATTTCTCAGTCTTCCTCATCACAGTGGGCATGACAGTTGGTCATTCTTTCCTTAAAGTCCTTGGGGCCCTCACCTTCTGCTCTTCTCCCTTCTCCTCTTTGCTGGCACTCTCTGCCCTCTGCAGGCCCATCCTCCTCTCTCCACACGTTACACACAGTTTGTCTAAGGCAACTTCCTCTTCCCATTCTGTTTTACCTAAAGAAGTTCACTTATGGCTGGGGCTTTAGTGACCATCAGATTTATATCTCCAATCTAATTTCACATCTTCCACATGGAAGTCTCAAAGGCCCCTTAAACTTGTTGTGTTCAAAACCAGCTCAAGCATATGGACACCACACCCTGTCCCAGCCTGCTCTCAGAAACCTGGAGTTAGCCTTGGTATCTTCTCTTTCACTCCTTCCCTGTGTCCAATCCATCATCAAATTCTTATCTTTTCAGAAATCTTACAAACCCATATACATCCAGCCCAGCTCTACCCCATGATTGTGTTGTAGAGTGCCCTCATTTCTTCCTTCCACGTATCGTCTAGTACCATGCCCAGTCCCTCCTAGGCTCTAGCTGCCCTGGACTTTCCCTAGTCTTTAATATCTCCTGGCATTTGCCTGTGCTGCTGCCCTTCTTCAAGCTCATCCACAAGCACTGTTCACCTCACCTACATGGTAATCACTCATTCTTTATATCTCAATTCAAACATCACTTCCTTAAGATAAGCCTTTCCTCACCTCCCAAATTAGATCAGGCCTCCAGTTAGGCATTCTCTGTGGCTCTCTAATTTTCCTTGGTAAGACTTATTTCCGTTTTTAATTGTGTATGTATGTTACAGTTTGATTACTGCCAGTCTTTCTTACTAGACTGAGCTCTGTGAGGTGAAGGGACTGTGTCTGTTTTGCATACTATTGTATATTCAACACCCAGGAAATACCTGTGATATTGAATATTTATCCAATACTTGTTAAATAAATGAGGAACAAAGGATCAGATCTTAGAAAACATGCTCAGAGAGCCTCAGAAATTGTATATCACAGTCTGTTATTGATACAGCCAGGTCTTAGGGTTTTTCCCACAGTTCCATTACTATGCAAGCCACATTTGCTGAAGCAAATAACTGTGAAGTGACCCTCAAATGAATGACCCTTCATTTCTCCAGAAAGCAGGGTGACCACAGTTTGCAGAATTCCATATTCTCTGGGAATTTTAATTTTGCCTTAATCACTTAGAAATTAACTGTCTGTTCTGTCATACTCCAAGCCTTGTTTTCATTAACACGCCTGCTCATTAAGTGCCCAGTTAGGAATGTTGCTGTTACAGGGAAGATTGCAACACTGTTGGATGAGAGTTAGTTATAAAACCTTATAACCGTTGGCAGTTTTCACATTTAATTTATTAAGCTAACAATTATTTTCATTCCTTTTATTTTTTTCAGCTATCCTATTCTTCATAAATTAGGACAGCTTCTCTTTGTTGTCTCACCTTATCTCTACCCCTTTTCCCTCAGACATGTCATCTCAGCCCCACTGGCCCTCTCTAGGTTTCTCCAACAGCCAGGCTTATACAACTGTCCCTCTGCCTAGAACACTTTCCCCAGATCTTCTCATGGCTGCTTGTCATTTGGGTTTCAGCTTCAGTATCCTTTTCACAGAGGGGTCTTTTTTCTGACCACGTGACCTGAACTCGCCTGCATTCAGTCGGTGACATCACCCATGGCATTCACCACAGCCTGTTATTTTCTCATTTACCCCATCACTACCAAGAATGTAAACCCAAAAGAGGCACACTTGGCCTGTCTTGTTCGTTCTGTATCCCCAGCTTTTAGAGTAGTACCATGGCTCATAGTAGGTGTTCAAAAAATCTGTGTTGAATAAATTAATGAATGGTGACTAAAGGATTTTGTCTTTATTAGGATTTGTAATGCAGTAACTAAAAGTCATCCACAAAGAAGTGACGTTTACAAATCAGATTTGGATAAGACCTTGCCCAATATCCAAGAAGTGCAGGCGGCTTTTGTAAAACTTAAGCAACTATGCGTTAATGGTAATTTCATATTTACTTTATAGATATGTATGTAATGAATGGAGGATACAGCATTGTATGAAGCATGCAGAAAAAGCGATATTCCTTAAAAATATAGAAATAGATATATGTAAGTAGAGGCACATTGAAATGTTTGTACAAATTATTGTATGAGAATGTCAAAAGCTCTTAGAAAATGAAGTTGAAACTACTTTTTGTTTTGGAGGAAAAAGTGAACCAATTACATCACTTTCAAATCATAAAAGGTATGGTAGGATACTTTTATAAAACTGTCTGCTAAGTAGAACGTTGTACTACCTTGCAGACAAACACACTAAGATTTTTATGTGTACTGTTATACTTTGAGATACGTGACTTGACCTGGATTTCGAACAGAGCTCTATTGTAATCTGTGCAGCCTCAGAGCTCTGATACGTCTCTTGGAGCAAATGCTTGGCAGGTGTTTTCGATGTGCCCTGGAGGGAAGACTCACCAAAGCGTCTTTGGTGTAAAGTGGATTCTCCTTGAAGTATACGCAGAGAGAGCCCCTAGTCACCCAAGGGACCTGAGCGGCAGCCATTGCAGCAGGTCTGGAATGGTGAATGGGCACTTGCCTGGAAAGAGAGCTGGGGAGGGGCAGGTGTAAGAAAAAATACAGTGACATGAGTGGTTATCAGCCGTCCGGTAAGTGGAATATGACTGAAGCATGGGGTTTGTGAGTTGAGTGGCACCTTGAGATGGGCCAGGACATGACCGGACAAGGCAGTGCAAGCCCTGTCAGGAAAGTGCCCTCATTCCTGCAGTGGTCAGCCACCAAGGCCACGTAAACTATGTGCTGGGGGCAGCAGGGGAGTGGGAGAGAAGCAAGAGGGCAAGGCTTTTGCAGTAAGGAAGCCGTGAGGAGGGAAGGCCAGAATCAAGGTGTGGGCTGACCAGGAAGGCTGGAATCACTAACTTTTAGAAGGCAGAGGTGGTCACACTCTCCCAAGATTTCTGGGAAAGCTAGAGAGGAGATGGAGGCCGGGGGAATGCTTTGTTTTGTTTTTTGTAGAATTGTAACATGTCTTCTTAGATGTTTATATTATTAAATGAAAATACATTACACTTCCTTAAAGCCAACTTTTAAATATTAAAAACTGTGATGTATCACTTAACTTTCATATTCATCGTGTAAACTTAAGCTTAAAAAGCCTAAATGTGTGTGCGTGCACATGCGTTTTATAACATATGTGTGTATATATAATTACCGTATTTATTACAGGGCACATTGAAAGCACCTGGTAATCACCTGGTTTGCTCAAGCAGATGTGTTAGAACTCTGAGGCCACACAGATTACAACATGGCTCTGTTCAAAATGTGTGCGTTTGTGTAATAATTACCATATTTATTACAGAGCCATTTGAGGAAACTGAAGAGAAATGGTTATCTTCACTGGAAAATACTCGGTGGTTGGAATATGTAAGGTTTGTACAACTGCTTCCCTTTTTTTCTGTAACTTTTTATTTTGAAATAATTATAGATTCACAGGACGTACCCCTGGTGGTAATATCTTATACAGCTAGAATATGGTATCACAACCAGGAAATTAACAGTGGTACAGTGTACAGGCCTTATTCAGATTTCCCCAGTTTATACCTACTTCGTCTGTGTGGGGTGAGTGGGGGTGCTTCTGTGTACTTTTATCACATGTATAGATTTGTGTAACCACCAGCACAGTCAAGATCCAGAACTGCTCCATCACAAGGCTCCTTTGTGCTGCCCCTTTAAGGTTGCTCCCCTAACACCCCCCCTGCAACCACTGATCTCTTCTCCATCTCTGTAGTTTTGTGGTTTCAAGAATGTCATGTAAATCAATTCCTTCCTTTTTATAAAAGGTTAATAAATTTCCCTGATTTAAAATCAAAATATATTCTGTTGAAGAATCATATAAATACTAAAGAAATTCTTAAAGGTTATTGATATTACAAACATGTATAGTGATAGGTTAGATTTGTTTGATTTTAAGTACTACTAAAAAAATATTTGTAGTGCAAATTTGACTTTTATAACAGTATTTTTCCCTTTCTTTTTTCAGGGCATTTCTTAAACAATCAGCAGAACTTGTATACGTACTAGAAAGGAAGCATCTCTCTGTAGTCCTACAAGGTAATTTCATTACTGAAAGCACTGGTCACCATGCCACCCAGCTTGGTGACTGATGTCCATGGTCAAGTAAATTACGTTCATCTTAGCCATCTCTTATTTACTACAATACTGCCAAGCACACTGCAGATTTCACACATCATTAGAGTAAATCAGTGGCACAAAGCCTGCAAATAGAAGAACAGAAAAGAGTCCAGTGTTCTCCCTGTATTAATCTTCTCTATGTTATGAAGAAGGTGGGTCACAGCCCTTACTGGATTCATACAAAGTGTTCATCTTGGCAGAGCATCCTCTCTCTAACCTTGCTATCTTTCTAATGCATACAAATTTTAGTGTAAGTGCCTCTGGCTCATGCTAGATTATGACTAAAGAAACAGTTTGGTATCAAGAAATTGACTGAATTGAATAGCCAATAATATGAATTTTGCTTAATGTTTGGTAGGAATAAACTACAATATAAAAATCTTTCAGTTAAGCAAAAGATAATTGTCTATTAAATAACTTTATAGCAAATAGAATTTCTAAGCTTGCAGATAAAGTTTAATAACCCACAATCTACCTGATTTTGTAATATATTCGCACTGTATAGTTTATGAATATGCTATGCTACTGAAGCGTACAGAAGTAGTTTTACCAGCTGTCATATTTAACTGACTTTAACAAAGTAAAGATATTCACAACCCTCAGGGGAAAAAGAAAATAATAGTAATCCACTATTTCAGGTAATCCCTAATTGATGTAATTAGAGTGTATTTAGTTTGCAAATGCACTTGGAAGTGGAGCCCAGCAATAATCTCTCCTCTCAACCAGTGCGCATGCTCGTGCTATTGCAGAATCCTACTTAGCACATTTCTTCGTGCATTTGTTGTAAAATAAAAGGCCTCAGAAGAGATACTGAGCCTGCATTATACTAACACTTTTTTTTTAGAATGTGTTTTTTAAACAGTTTATTGAGGTGTAATTTACATGTTATGAAATTCACCCATTCTGAATGTGCGATTCAGTACTTTTTAGTAAATATGCAAAGTCCAGTTTTAGAAATTTTTCTTCATCCCCAAAAGATTCTGTGTGTCCCAGCCCCAGGCCACCACTAATTCTGCTTTCTGTCTAGATTTGCTTTTTCTGGCTGTTTCACAGAGATGGAATCATATGATATATGGTCTTTGCGTCTGGCTTCTTTCATTTAAAATGCATGTTTTTTTGTTTTGCTTTTTTCCCCCTTTCTGGTTTGTTGGTTTGGTTTTTTTGAGGTAACTGGTTTATAACATAGTATACATGTTTTTGAGGTTCATTCATATAACATGTATCAGTAGTTCCTTTTTATTTCTGAATAGTCTTCCATTTGTTTGTGAACACAGTTTATCCATCTATCTGTTGATGGACACTTGGATAGTTTCTACTTTTTGGCTATTACAAATTATGCTCCTGTGAAGATTCACACAGAAGTCTTTGTGGGGACATATGTTTTTATTTCTTTTGAGTAGATACATAGAAGCAGAATTACTCAGTGATAGGGGAAATTTATGTTCAGCTTTGTAAGAAACTGCCAAACTGTGTTCTAAAGTGCTGTACCACATTTCCCTTCCCCTCAGCTGTGAATGAGGATTCCTTTTGCCATATCCTAAGCGCCACTGCTCTTGTCTGTCTTTAGGACCATAGTCCTTCTAGTAGGTGTCAAGTGGGAGTCCATTGTAGTTTTCATTTGCATTTCATCTGCTTCTTGGCCATTAATGTATTGTCTTTGATGAAATATCAGTTCTTTTGCCCATTCTTCAATTAGGTTGTTCATCTTATTATGAGTTCTAAGAATTCTTTACATATTCTAGATACAGCTTCTTTATATAATTTGCAAATATTTTCTCCTAGTCTATGGCTTATCTTCCAAGTTTCTTAATGACTTTTGAAGAACAAATTTTTACATTTTGATAAGTCTAATTTATCCATTTATTTTTTTCTTTCGTGAATCATGTTTTTGGTGTCCTATCTAAGAACTGTTTGCCTAATTCAAAGTCATGAAGACTTTCTGGTGTGTTTTATTCTGTAAAAGTTTTATAGTTTTAGCTCTTACATTTCAGTCTGTGATCCATTATGAATGAATTGTTGTGTATGTTGTTAGGTAAAGGTCTAAATTCATCTTTTTTGTGTGTGTTTGTTGAATTGTCCCAGGACTGTTTGTTGGAAAGAATATCCTCTTCTTTCTCTATTGCTGTGCCTTGTCATCTTTGTCAAAAGTCAGTTGACTGACTATAAATGTTAAGGGTTTGTTTTTAGAGTCTCAGTTTTATTCCATTGATCTTTATGTCTATCCTGTGCTGCTACCACATTATCTTGAGTATTGTAGCTTTAGAGTAAGTTTTGGAATTGAGACATGTAAGCTCTCCAGCTTTGTTTTCAAAATTATTTTGTCTGTTCTGGGTCCTTTGCATTTCTGTATAGCTTTTAGGATCAGCAAAATAGCCAACTGGGATTTTGATAGGCATATGTTGAACCCACAGATCAATTTGGGAGCATGCCATCTTAACCATATTGAATCTGCCAATCCATGGAATGAATGTCTTCCCATTTATTTGGATTTTTTTTTCATTTTGTTAGCAATGTTTTATAGTTTTTAGTGTACAAATTTTGCACTTAGTAAATCTCTTCTTTAACTATTTTATTTTTGGTGCTATTGTGAATACAGTTCTCTTAATTTCATTTTCGGGTTTATTGTGTACTCAGATTGTTGTGTATAGAATTCCTGCGACCTTACTGAACTCATTTATTATCTCTAGTAATTATTTTGTGGCTTCCTTAGGAATTCTGATACGCAGCAGCGTGTAGTGTGCAAATACGGTGACTGCCTTTTCCTTTCTGATGTGGATGCCTTTGATTTCATTTTCTTGCCTTGTTTCCCTGGCTAGAGTTTCCAGTACAATGTGGAATAGAAGTGGCAAGAGCAAACATCCTGTCTTGTTTCTGATCTTAGGGAGAACGTGTCCAGTCTTTCACTAATAAGAATGATGTTAGTTGTAAGTTTTTGTAAATCCCTCTTATCAGGTTGAAGTTCCTTTCTGTTCCTAGTTTACTAAGAGTTTTTATTCAGGATGAACATTGGAGTTTCATCACACAAATGCTTTTTAATGCATCTAATGAGATGATCATGTTACTTCTGTCCGTTATTTTATTAATATGGTGTGTTATTTTAATTGATTGTCAGATATTAAACCAACCTTGCACTTCTGGGATAAATTCTTGCATTCCTGAGATAAATTGGTTTGCTCATATTTTGTTGATGATTTTTACATCTAATCATATTTTGTTGATGATTTTTACATCTAATCATAAGGGATATTGGTTGGCAATTTTTCTCTGATTTCTTTGGCTGGCTTTTATTCCAGGGTATTATTGGCTTTGTTGAAACGACACCAGCTATAAAAGATGGGAGGGAAATGTGTGCCACCTTTTCAGATGGTGGTGGACAATCCCATTCCTTTCCTTCACCTCTGAGTCACCATGTGGAGTTGTCAGTAGAAAGATTGTTATATTTAATATCCTCGAGAAAACAGAAATAGAATTGGCCTCTTAAAAGATTTCTACAACAAACCATTGAAATTTTAAAACCATTGCAATAGAAGGTTGTGCTTCTGTTATCTGGAAAATATTGGTATATGAAAGGCCATCTCCGTTAAACACTAATTTAATTGATCTAAAAGTCTATAATATTTTAGAGTTGTTGGAATCCAATGAAATTTTCTAACATAGATTATTTTGAAGGCAGCCTAGGCATAGAATACTGAATTACCTACTTTGCCTTTCCTTCCCTTTCTCTCTTAGCATTTTTCTGTATAGTAATCATTTTCTTTCCATTTTGTTGACAGAGGAGGAAGGAAGAGACTTGAGCTGTATTGTAGCTTCTCTTGTTCAAGTGATGCTGGATCCCTATTTTAGGACAATTACTGGATTTCAGAGTTTGATACAGAAGGAGTGGGTCATGGCAGGATATCAGTTCCTAGACAGATGCAACCACTTAAAGAGATCGGAGAAAGAGGTAACAAAATCTTAATGCTTATTAGCAAGCTTTAAGTGTGCACAAGATAAAATTTGTGTCACTATGTGAAGAGATGTTCCGTCTGTGAAGAGATGAGGCGGCTTTTTAAATACTGCATTTAGTACATCTTAGCTTCCTTAATCTAAGACTAACTAGTGGATTAGAGTCCTAACTGATGGATTTATGAAGATTATCTTAAATATAGGTAAAATTCTAACAAATTGTCATTGAATTTCTCTAAGTTGACAAGTGCCTGAAGAAATGCTGCATCAACTCTTCTGCAAAGCAGATAACGAGCACATTGGATATTTTGAAAAATCAGCTTTGGACTATCACATTTTCTTAGAATGAGGCAAATGTGTTAAGAACAGAAAGTTGGGAAGGACATCTTTGTAACGGCTGTGGCGTTAGTGGCTGCCTTGGCTCCATAGTTAAACTGTAAAAGACCTTGCAAGCATCTTACAGACAGGGTTGTTTCAGAGAACACAGTTTGACTTGGGGTATCCCATGTTTAATAACAAACTATGTTATCTGAGGAAATCTCAACAGTGAATATGTCACTTTTAAAATGCTAGGATTGCTTGGGATGCACTGGGCAAGCTACAGTAGCTGCATGTCACCTAGGGGCTGATGCCAACTGTTGTCTGAAATTCCAAGAAGTTTTCTGGATGCTGAGCTTGCAGGGTCAACCAAAAACTAATTATAGAAATTGGTTTTTGGTTTGGGATTTTCTTTTTTATGTTATAAAGAATTGTTTCCAGAATAGGCTTAAACATATTTTATTGTTCCCCATTCATACATCGACAACCTGCGCATCTGTTTACTTTGCCTTTCAACTTGATATACTAATTAGGCAAGTAAGGGTTGCCATGTTTACCATAGTTGGACATGCTTTCTGGGTCTGACATAAGCTCTGTTTAATCTGTTCACATATCCTGAGCTCAACTCAGGAGCCAAGTGCTTCAGGCTTAGATGTTTTCTTATTAATCACTTCTTTACTATCAGGGATAAATTTGGAAATAAATGTGAACAACTGAAGGACAACATTAAATAATCCCATTTTCTATTTGTATTTGCCAGTCTCCCTTGTTTTTGCTCTTCCTGGATGCCACGTGGCAGCTGTTAGAACAGTACCCAGCAGCTTTCGAGTTCTCGGAGACCTACTTGGCAGTGCTGTATGACAGCACCCGGATCTCCCTGTTCGGCACTTTCCTATTCAACTCTCCTCACCAGCGGGTGAAGCAGAGCACAGTAAGCGACATTGTGGCCGTACCTTTTTTTTTTTTTTTTTTTTTTTACAACTTTAATGAGATGGAATTGAAGTACTGTTAGCTGTGTATTTAAGTTATAATTTCTGAATGAATGATTTAAAGACTTAAAAATCCAGGAACTTGTTTCATTTGTGTGAATGAGCATTTTATGTATTTTTCTCTGAGGTTCATAATAAACCAGTTTAAAGATGTAAATTATTGTAACCACCTTAAATATTGTGCTCTTGTGTTTATATTTTCACATTTGGGCTGTTCAGATGGGTAATCAAAATATTCTGTTTGAGGACATTTATTTCTTAGGTCAGTAAAATAATAGTTGTACAGAGCAAGATGGTTTTTCTTCAAGAGTTCTATGGAGAAGGAATTTCAGAGATGAAATATAGGCATGGAACTAGACTGGAATTCTCTGTGGGTGCTGGCCAGATATCCTGAGAATCCCACATGCCACAAGCAGTCACTTTTGGGTAGGATTATCAGTTTCTAGTCACAATTTGTTGACCTAGAAGAAGAATCATGACTAAGGAGGGATTGTAAGCCAAATTTTAACCTAGGTTCTGATTGCCACTGGTCAAACCTTCCAGTACCACAAGTTCTGTCTCAGTCACATTTGAACCAACAACGGGAATAGCCAATAACTGTTGCAGTGCCCATTGAGAGAGTCAACAAGGGCAGCCCTTGTAAGAAGCCTTTGTAAGAAGGAGGTTGCCTTCACGGGGAGCTGTGGAGTCCTCAGCCTTGACAGTAAGGCCCTTGTCCAGGTATTGTGGCCTGGTATAATGTGAGTACCGCCTGGGTCAGGAAACCTGAATCCTGGCCCTATTCTGGGAAAATGTTGAGTCTGGGTTCCTCATCTGTAAAATGGTTCCATCAAACTAACAGTAGTAGCTTTGGCCTCATTGTGTGAGGTGAACACATTTTGTAAACTGTGAAGCATTAGGCAAATTATCCTAAAGAAATGAGTTATTCTAGATTGTGGATGTGAAAGACAATGTGCACTGGACGTTTAAGGAGATGATTTTATTCAGGCTATTGCAGTAGAGAGAACTTCATTAATGAGAAACATCCCAAAGTAGAGGAAAGGGGCTGGGGCTTCCTTATCCAGGCAGGAAGCAGGAGAGCTGAGGGAGGGGAGCAGGTCCTTCCTCTCAGTGCTCAGCCGTCTGGGCAGTGCTGCTCTCGGGGGCGCGTCACAGGGGATTTCAGATTGCGTAAGAGGGGAAGGAGACTTTCTGAGGTATATTCTATGTGTCCCTGAAAGGTTTTACCTCTCCCAGTACTGTGCTGAGACTAGTGGAAGGCTCAGGCGCTCCTGAGGTGTGCGAGACTGTTCCTGATGTAATGGTCTCCGAGTTGCTCCTTTTCATTTTTTGTTCATGTTTTGTGCTTGCTGCTTTGCCACAAGCTGGTCCTTCACATGGTTGTGTTTGCCTGCCCTCTTCTCTCCTCTCACTCCCATCACTGCCCCGGGCACACACCGTGCACACATGCACACAGATGCATGATTTGAGCCTTCAGAATTCACACGAGGCTAGATCACATAGCCTTGTTAGGCGTAGGTGTAAGACGAGAGTACGGAAGCCCCGAGGTCCCGGTGACTGCAGTGTGTTGCGTGGGCACCCGAGCAGAAGACTGTGGAGGCCGGCGGGTGCCCCGGAGACGTGCTCCTCACTCCTGCTTCTTGGCTGGCTTCTGGATGTTTACAAATAGATTTCTAAGCAGGAATAAAAGTCAACAAATATTTTTTTAAAGTATATCATCTGCTTTCCCTGTTCCATGCTTTGTGCTGTATTTTTTTCATTTGGCTTTTTTCAAAAGCTTTTTCTGGCAAATACTAACATGAATCCCTCCCTCCCTCCGTATTTCGTGTTCGTAATTTGATGTGACAGCAGGACTGGAGGTCCTCAGGGCTGCCTCTGCTCTCCCGAGAGGCCTGGCCATTGACCTAAGGGTCCTGATTCTTGGCATGACCGCTGTTCTCAGTCCCTTCCATGTGGCCATAGCCCAGAGGGTGTCTTTCCATTCTGCGGCCACCTCAGATGCTGGCAATCAGATACTGTTTGTGGAAAACCTGATCATCTTCCTTGGGCATAAATGTTTTTAGTTTTCACATGAAAAGAAAGATGACTGTTTCTGTATACTTTCCTAAGGGCCATTAAAACAGATTGGGTGTTATGTTTTACAAGATTTCAGCTCTTAACAATACTATTTTCTAAAGTAAATGGATTGTTTTTATCCATGCTTTCATATGATCCATGTTTTCATATGATGAAATTTAAAATAACTAAAAAAATAAATGTATTGGTGCTTAATGAATTAAGTTTTGCTTAGTTGAAATAGAAGGTTCTGTGAACTGCCCCATGGCGTTAGCTTCCCCACTTCCTGCTGGCCCCACGCTGCACCGCTGCCTGGGTACTGCCTGGCAGGGGTGCGGAGATGGCCGCCCGACTGCAGCACTTTTTTCCTAAGAACATGTAGTCTTCGCCTTTTTTCTAATTTCCAAAGAAATTCTTGGTTTTTGTGGAAAATCTGGAGAATACCGAAAGGTACAGAGCAAAAAAATAAGAATCAGTCATTTCCCACCATCCAGAAACTCAGTATTTTGGGGTATTTTCTCCAGAGAACTAATCCGTACAAACTGTCATGGTAGCCTGCTTTTGTCTCTCAACCAAGACGACATTCCTTGTCTACATCGCTGAGGGTGGCTGCAGAGTTGGAGACAGTCTGCTCCTTTGCTCCTCCACATCGAGGCGCTGGGCTGTCACCCTGTAGCTTTGTGCTGCTGGTGTTTGCTGCGGGGAAAGCTGGGTCACCAGGCTTCGTGAACCCGCAGTGGGGCTGGAGGAGGGCTGCAGTGAGCAAGGGGCCCAGCTGCGCCCATAGGTTCCATGATCTTGGCCGAATGCTTGGCCCTCGGGGGAGTTGATTCCTGCCTCCCTGCTTCTAGGCCATGGGCCAGATATTTAAAGGTCACTGGGTAAGTGAAGTGTGGCTCTCCATTTACATAGATGACAGTGTTTTCCACCCAAAGATTGTTTTGCTAATCTGCTTACCAAGTTTCATTCCCAACAGGTAATTGTGTAAATGTATGGTCATGTACTTAAAAAGTAAAATGTTGCAATTATAAAAATAACTTTGGCACTTTAAGACTGTATGGTACCACATTAGTGAAGTTTTACTTCTCCTAGTAACATACTCATTGCCCAGAGGGTCCAGCTGCTTTGGTTTCTTCGGGAAGAAACGCGCTCTCCTCGCTCGTGCCGAGTATGCAGGGTTCCTCTGCTCCGAGTGCCGAGAATGTGTCTTCCCTTGAGGGAGAACGTGCTGCTCTAGTGGGTTTGGAGTTGCTCTAGTTCAGAAATTTAACTTGAATAGTGATGGATGGCTCATCAAAAAAAAATTTCTATGAGAAAATCTTTAGTTTGGCATCTTTTCACAAATGTTCAAATATTTTATTTTGCAGGAATTTGCTATAAGCAAAAATATCCAGTTGGGTGATGAAAAGGGTTTAAGATTCCCCTCAGTTTGGGACTGGTCTCTTCAGTTTACAGCAAAGGATCGCACCCTTTTCCATAACCCCTTGTACATTGGAAAGAGCTCGCCTTGTGTGCAAAACGGTTCTGTGAAATCTTTCAAACGGACAAAAGTAAGTGACAAAAGGCCCTACCAATAAACACCTGGTATCTGCTCACAGCTAACCCAAAACGTCTTTTTCAGGACAGAGTGTTAAAGGTCAACTCACGTCCTGTGACAACACTGCCAGTGCAGGTTTTGAGGGACCATTTACTTTTTAATTGAAACGACTGTACCCTGACTTCTCAGGCCCACAAAGCCCTGGTCAGCATCTGAGAGGCAGCAGATTGCGCCTTTGAGCCTGGGAGGCCCCGTTCCTGAAACCTGTCCCTCTGCCTGTTCTTTCTAGAATCACCCAGCTCTAGATTTTTTCTAACCCAGAAGTCTTAGAAATTTGCACTTAAACAAATGAATGACTAGGATGTGTCACCCCCAACCCCCTGCAGGCTAGTGGTACTGGCCAAGGCAGAGGCGAGGCCTGAAAGAGTTAACTCCAGTGCCGGAGGATTGGAATACCTATCACAAGGGCAGGAACAGAATGTTCTTTAAGGCCAAAATTCCACCAGTTTTTCCTAATACCAAGTTTAAATTTGTCATTGCGCCTTTACTGTCTTTCTAAAGAGGGGAGGCTCCAGGAAAATAATGCTAAAATCTCTCTTCTGTACAGAAAAGCTACAGCTCCACGCTAAGAGGAATGCCGGCTTCCTTAAAGAATGGGATCCTCAGTGACCAGGAATTACTTCCAAGGAGAAATTCACTAATATTAAAAGTAAAGCCAGAGCCTCCTCAGCAGACCGACAGCCAGGACAGCGGGGTGGAGCAGTATTTTAGAGAATGCTTTTCCAAACCAGTTGACCTGCACGGTGTTATTCTGCCACATCTCTCTGGAACACACATAAAACTGTGGAAACTGTGCTACTTCCGCTGGGTTCCCGAGGCCCAGATCAACCTCGGGGGCTCCATCACTGCTTTTCACAGGCTCTCCCTGCTGGCCGACGAGGTGGACGTGCTCAGCAGGACGCTCCGGCAGCCCCACAGCGGCCCTTTGGAGGCCTGCTACGCGGAGCTGGACCGGAGCAGGCTGTACTTCCGAGCCAGCGGCCCACACGATGCCTCGGGGACGCCCGAGTTTCTCTCCTCCTCGTTTCCCTTTTCTCCTGTAGGCAATCTATGCAGACGAAGCATTTTAGGAACACCATTAAGCAAATTTTTGAGTGGGGCCAAAATATGGTTATCTACTGAGACACTAGCAAATGAAGACTAAAATGTACTCTTTTTCTGAACACTTTGAGGGAAGCTATAAATGATTTTCCTCTGAATTGAAATTGCTAACCAAGGCATTTGAAGCTCTAATAATTTTATATGTAAGAGTAACAGTTGGAATTTGCACTAACATTTAAAAAGATGTTGTATTATTCAGTTTTTTAAAAGATAGGTGTAAATTTTGTTTCTTACATCCTCTGTCATCTTAGGTCTGGCTCATTTTTAGGTGATTTGCAGGCAACATTCCCCCACTCTTACTACTGTGATCAAACTAATCAGGTTTTGTCCATGACATTGATTTTGTCTGCATCCATTTTTCCTAGCACCTCCTAAAGGTCACCTGATCCTGGTCAGATTAGCAACCCAAAGAAGCAGATGTCAGGAAAGTTAAGAAATTAGTAGTTAGTTATTTTCAAGAAGCATCTGACACACTCCTCAGCAGGCATTAGTAGGTATTCCTGTATTTTTCTGTCACTGTCTCTTTTCTCTGCTTGAACTCACCTGAGGGTTCAGTGTTCCCGGGCCATAATTTATTTTAGATCACTTTATTGGGACCTTAGATCACTGTGTTTTAAAATCACAAGTTTGCTTTTCATAGGACTGACTTCCAAGTGATATGCACTGTTAACTTTAAAAGCATTTGCTGTAGATAATATAATTAAACTTAGAAGTGCCTTTGACATTAATATTAAGGTAGGAATAACACAGTAAAATTTCAGTTTTTAAAATTAGGGTGTTAAAATCCCTCTGCATATTGGAAACAGCCTTTTCACACTTAGCTTCATACCAATAGGCAGGAATCCCCAAAGCCACGTTTCTGTCCCTCTGAAAGTCACCGAGGACCAGTGGGCCTGTGGGGTGGTCAGTGTTGGTGCTGTCCAGGAGCAGCGGGGCGAGTGCCATCTGCACAGAGACCCACCCTCAAAAATAGAGGGCTTCCTCAGAGGCATTTGGGCCTTTCTTCCAGTGTGGTGAACTGTTGTTGGCACTTTCCCTTGGAAATAACTCATGGGGCCCTGAGTCAGGTCACCTGCAGATAAGTCCCCTTCCCTCAACATTCTTAATACTTAGGAATAGAGAACAGGAGAAATAAAGACATAGTCTCTCAAAATACTGCCATTTTAATAAGTAGCGAGGGAAGCAGACCTGCATCCTGACCTCTGACAGCAACATTAAGAGGAGACTGAGCAGCACGCTCAGGTGTGCTCTTGGTCTGAAACGCCCTTGTTTTCACATTGTGTGACAGGAGCCCAGCCAAAGCCGCAGCAAGGACGTTTAGCACCATCCCCCATCCACCCCTCATCCCCAGTCCCTGTTTAAAAGATGGATACTTTACAATTTGGCTGTTATTTAATGAGTTTCTTAAACTGCTGTCTTAAGCTTTTAAAATATTTTTTTAATAAAGTATCTAGTTAGCTTATTTCCTTTTCTAAAACAAGTTTTGTCAAAAGAATGTGTTTTACCTTTATATGTAATGAATAACTTTCTACTTGAATTACTTGCCTTTTAAAAATGTTTGATAATGTCTCCAGATTTAAAGGGACAGAAGTTTCTATACAGTGTCTTAGGAAATTCATCTTGTGGATAAAACCAGTGTTTTTGCCAACTTGTTGCCTAGAGAATCAGGGCTTTTTTCCGATTGTTGCCATTAAACATTTGATAGTCCTTGACTGGAAACCAGTCCCACCCCCTTAAAACACCACAGCGTACCCTGCCACTGAGAGTGTAATCATAATTCTCCCTTTCTCATTAAGCTGCTTTCTTATTATTACAAATTGTTCTAAATTTATTATTTTCTTGGGTTGAGCGTTTATTTCTCTGTAATTTTCTTCCCTCACACATTTATTTCAATTCCCTTAGTAATTCTTTGTTAATTTACACGTTTAAAAAAGATTAGGTACTATTAATACTATTTTAAAATAGAAAATGGGGATATTTTTGTATGCTAATCAAATGTAGTAAAATATAGTTCCTCGTTTTATTTTTGCTGGACAGTTGTTCTCTCATGATTATTGTGCCTCCGTGTGTCATGCATAATATGAAAAACAACTACAACAGCCTTACGTCCTGGCCAGTGCAAAGCTGCCTGGCATCTCTGCTAATAAAAAGGCCATTGTGGTGCTGGCAGTGCTCGGTGTGGGTATGCACGCTGTACCAAAGAGCGCCCCAGACAGCGGCCCCGCCTCACGCGGAGCCTCTGCTCATGGAAGGCCACGCAGACCGCACACAGCTTTGGCCTTTCTAGGACTGAACTGAAAGACAGACAATGTCTTACTGTTATTTTATGATGGAAACCAATTTTAAAACCAAAAATGTCTAATTTTATTTAAGAAAAGTATAATTTGTGCTAACAGGGTGAAAATTCAACACACCCTTCAACAAAATCTGCTTGCTGTAGCAGTAACCTTGAGTAGTTAAAACTTGATTTTGAGAGAAAACTAAAACCTTTGTGCCTAAAATTGATTATAACTTGAGTTAAGGTAGGATGAGCAGGAAGATAAGAGAGCTTGTTCAACAGTATGAATGTAAAGGAAATTTTGACTGGTAAATAAAATTTCCACAGAAATTGTTTGTTGGTGTTATCAATACAAAATCATCTACAAGAACATAGCGATTCAAGAAGTGAAAGCATTTTCTTCCAACTGTACCTGTGTATGTGTCATCTCCAAAGCAGTGATCAATGACATTTTTCACACGGGTTCAGAACTGGCTGTCATTAAGGCCATGTGGGTATTCATGGACCATGCCCTACCTTGTCTTCCAGTCAATAAGTCAAAAAGCTAGGGAGGAACATTTCCCTAAGAAGGTCTCAAAAGTACTTCATGGGAGCCTGTGATCCCAGTCCCTGACTCCCGGGCCGACCACTCTGATGGATCCCTTCCTGCCACGAAAATTTCCCCAGCCTGAGGCTCTTCCAGTGACGAGCAGTCCTATGCCAGTTACACTGTCTGTACAGAAATCTGATCTAGTCATTAGGGTGTTCCCAAGGAGAAGGAGGAAAGGGACAATTGCCGTTGATAAAGACTAGTCATTCCTTCGGTGATCCAGGCCCAATTAGTAAGAGTAAGCATTGGCAGATGAAATAAGGAACTTAATGAGAATATTTTTTAATTCCTAAAGAAATCAGAATTTCAACTGTATGCCCTTCTTGGATAATCACAAAACAAGAATGTTGAACAGCTGAGTGTGTAGAGCCGTAGAGAAGAACTCAGATAAATTCAAGAATCTCTGTTTCCGGTACACTTATTAGAAGCATTGTGTATGCTACTTTTATAAAAGACCCAAAGCTCTGAATCATCTCATTTGTTGGGGGTTTTTCCTGCTTTTTTGTAAGTCTAATTGTACTAGATGCATCTAGCTCCTAAAATAGCCACCCAGGTTTTTGCCTCTTAAAAAGTTCATTACTTACATGGAATCAATGACTGTTTTCAAGCCAATACCAAGTTTTGTGATAAGCAGACAGTGTACAATGATGAGTCATTAAACCATAAGGTTTATTACTCAATCAAAATCAAAATTAAATAAAATACAATAACGCTTTATGCTTTTGAAAATCTTAAATCCATGTATAACCAGATATTCCCAATGACATAGCTCTTAGTTAAGATTTCTGCTCTTAGCTCCAACTGCAACCACATGGCAGACTTCGACCTCAGCCCCCAACTTCTGCAGTTCAGCCAGCCAGATCATTTGCTTATGCGAAAGTCGGTCATTGGGGCCTTTAACTTCCACCAGCTGGAAGATAAGTTAAAAAGTTCTTAGGATCTTACTGAAACAGAATAGCCGTTCAAATAAGCTATTGTAGTTTTCACTAACAACTATTTAAATGGCTTATTCTACTACACTGCTGTACTTATATATATATAACAAATATATATGAAATTCATTGAGAAATTTTTTGATAGAAACTAGATGGTTCTTCACAGAGAATTAGTAAGTTGATTCTTAATACAGCAATTGAAAAATAGTTTCAAAGCATGCACTGGATTGTTGCTCCCCTGCTTAAAACCCTTCAATTACTTTTAGTTATATTTGTAATTAAATCCAAATTTCTTACCATGACCTACAAACTATGATCTGATCTGGGCCCTGCTACCACTCCAAAAGCCTTGCAGGTCCTGAGACAGACCACCTCTTTCCAACACAAGGGCCCTTCCTGACTTGCTGTCCCTCTGCCTAGGACATTTCTACCTGATCTTGCCTTCAACGCTCAGCTCAAATTCATCTCAGAGAGGTCCAGCACATCCTAAGTAGGGTCGTTCCTGTGTAATTCTTGCAGGGCATTTATCATAAGATAAAACTGTTCATTACATATCGGCTCCATGAAGGCAGGAATTCTGTCAGTTTTGTTCACTGCAGATTACTCAACTTCAAGACATAGCAATAAAAACTATCCAAAATGAAGTATAGAAAAAAATTTGTAATAAGCAGAGCATTCAGAAGCCTAATAGATATTTAATTAGAGTCCCTAAAGGGAAGAGAGAAAAATATTTGAAGAAATAATGGCCAAAAATTTTCTGAATTTGATGGAAACTATAAACCCAAAGACCGAAGGAGCTCAGAACCCCAGACACAGAAACATAACACTACACTAAGAAGCATCATAATTAAATTGCATCATCAGTGATAGAGGGAATATCTTAAAAACAGCCAGAATTTTTTAAAGCCAGAGGGGAAAGATAACAGATTTCTCACTGGAAACAATGTAAGCTAGAAGACGTAGACCAATATTTGTTAAAGCATCGAAAGAAAACAACTGTCAACAAAAAATTCTTTGCCCAGAGAAAATATTTTTCAAAAACAAAGGTGAAATAAAGACTCAAAGACATACAAAATCTAAATAATTCATTACTAGGAGACCTCCACTCAAGAAATGATAAAGGAAGTTCTGCGAGCAGGAGAAGAGTGATAGCACATGGAATCTGGATCAACACAGGCACTGGAATTAGCAACCACGTGAGTAAATATAAAGACTCTTGTTAATCCACTGTGAAAGCAGAGATAATGAGTGTGGAGGTTGTAACATGCAGAAGTATAATGTATGAACAAGCACAAAGGCTGGGAGAGGAGATACAAAAATATACTAATGTAAGGTTCTTCATACTCTACAGGGAATAGTACATCACTTGAAGGTAAGTAAGTTTAAGATACACCCTGTAAACACTGATGCAACTACTTAAAAACAAAGAGTTACAGCTAACAAGCCAACAAAGGGATAAAACGCAGTCTTAAAAAGGCAGAAAAAAAGGGAAAGGGGGAACAAAAGAGCTGAGACAAATAGAACACAAATATGAAGGTGGTAGATTTAAAGCCAAACATCAATAATCACATTAAATATAAATGTTCCAAACACTCAAGTTAAAAGGCAGAAGTTGTCAAGTTAAATTAAAAAGTAAGACCCAACTATATGCTGCCTACAAGAACCTCACAAAAAATACATAGACAAAATAAGTTAAAAGAATGGAAAATGACATATCATGTTAACTAATCAAAAGAAAGCTGGAGTGGCTATCTATTAATAATATCAGTCAATTTCAGAGAAAAGAACACTACTAGGAATAAAGGAGGGTCATTTCATAATGATAAACAGGTCAAAGAAGACATGAGAATCCTAAAAGTTTATACATCTAATAATAGCGCTTCTTCACAATATATGGAGCAAATGTTGATAGAACTGCAAGGAGAAATACACAAATCCACAATTATAGTCAGAGATGTCATATGACACCAAAAGCAAGATCTATTAAGGAACAGATAAGTTGGACTTTGTCCAAATTTAAAACTTCTGCTCTTCAAAAGACACGCTTAAGAGAATGAAAAGACAAGCCACAAACTGGAATGAAATAAATATATGATAAAGAACTTGTATTCAGAATTCTTTTCTTTTCAAACACAAAACTTTATATTAATAAGAAAACAACCAACCCTGATGGGCAGCAGGGTGAGATCAGGGTGAGGCAAGGGAGGTGCCCAGTGTATAACACAGGAGGAGGTGCTCACTCTCCAGGAGCTTCGAAAATGGCTCCAATCATCCTGGCCTCCTGGTGTGCACACCCTGCGGAATCCCCTCCCTCTGAGTGTGGGATGGACCTAGTGACTTGCTTCTAACAGTAGAACACAGCAAAAGTGACGGAATGTCACTTCCAAGATGTGGTTACAAGAGACTGACTTCTGTCTTGCTCACACTCGAGCTCTTCTCACTCGCCAACTCTGATGAAACAAGCTGCCACGCAGGAGCTGCTCAGTGGCGAGGCCTACACACAAGGACCTGAGGAGCCTCTGCCAACAGCCACCAAGGAACCCCGGCCCTCAGTCCAACAGCTCTCAAGGGATTCAATCTTGCCAACAGCCATGCGAGAAATGCCAGCATTGTTGCCTTTGATTAAGTTGCTCATAAAACTACAAAAACGACTTTCTATTCTGGTTCAACTGACCTTAAAGCGATGACTTTGGGAGTTCCACACAACCAGGTCGGGGAGGCCCCCTCGGCAGTGTCGAAAGTCCACAGCCAGGCGCCTGCACACACCACTAAGGACACGGCCTCCCAAGCAGGAAACAAGATCCTGAACACAAAATACATCGTTACCCATCCCCTTGTGAGAGAGACCCTGAAATACTTCCAGTGATCATGGGACAGAGAAAACTCGGGGTAATTCACCAGAAATGGATTCCAAGGACACCAGGTGCTGTTTTGCTGCTTGGATGGGGCTCCAGAGCCACTGGCTAAAATTCTCACTGGCAAACTCTGGGAAACCTGTTTTCCTTTGGTCAGTTATCATACTTCTTCCCAGTAGGGAGAATCCTGGGGAGCAGCTGAGGAAGAGGGAATTTGGAGTAAGCGCTCAGGAATATGACAGTGATGACTCACAGAGGCCAGCAGTCACAGGAACAGGGACGGCTGCCTTTCTGCCAGGGGCCATAGGTCAGGCAAAGGGAAGCTGTGAACTGAGGGGAGAGAAGGCATAACTGGGGCTTGTTTTGTGCCCTGATGTGTTCTTGTCAATAACAGTGGCATCTAGGCTGGGGTATTATCATATTCATACAGACACGTGCATGCACACACATATATACATACATGTACATACACGTGTACAGGTATGCATGTGTGTGTATATATCCACGCATGCCTACAGACACACATGTATATACACATCCGTGTATGCGTATGCATCTTGACACAGTTGCCGAAAAGACACCTAGCCTTGGGGGATGGGGGAGGGTGTTACTTTCTGACCAAATCTTGCAGGCAGATTTTCACCTGAGCCTGCTGAAGAGAAGCAAAGCGATCCCAGCTGACAATGGAAGCCACTCTGCCTTCCTGCGCCTGCCATGCAGCTGCCACCCAGGCTCGCAGGCTCTCTGGAGGGGCACCGTGAATCAGCTGCAGCCTGGCCTCGATGGCCTGCCGCCTGCTTTCGAAGAAGCTGTCTGTACACAAGTCCAGTGGGAGTGCCTGTGTTGCAGGGAAAACAAGCTCTCACTTTGGGCCTGGAGAGAACCTTAATCAGAAGAATATTCAATACCTATAAAGTTTGGAAATTGGCCAATTTGATTGAATTGATACATTCCTTTTCTCAAAAGATATGTAAAAATTATCTAAGTAATGTAATATAAAAGCAACTTATTCCACTGGTTTTTAGAGTAATAGTTTGCAAAAAGAGCGTTAAGTAAACTCAGTGGAACTCTTGGTAGGCACACGTGACACAGCACACCAGGCAGAGCGCTAGCCCCAACACTTGCTCAGTGAAGGGCTGAAGAAACTTAGCCTGAAAGTTTCAAATGGAATTCTGAAGGTAAACTAGGCCTAAAGTTTAAAACTTAACATACTTACATTTTAAATTCCATGAATCAGATTTTAAAATTAAAAGCTATCTTTACACTGGAATTAGCACCATGATCCAAAACCTAGTAACGAGAGGCAGGCTTCCCACGGCTGCAGACACGTGGACACAGGTGGGCGTGAAGCACGCAAGCACAGAAGCATCTGCTCCCTTAAAAAGTACCCTCTTGCTTCAACATAACAGGTACCTGGTAGGCGTTTCTGAAGACATCTGGGACTCCGTCCATGAAGATTATGTCCCACAGGAGAAGGCCATAGAGCGTGCTAAAGGTGGACCCTTCCCCATGGATCCCTAAGACAAAGTCGCACACATGGAAGAAAAATCAGTTTTTTCTAGTTGTTAAAAACCTCCACCATGACCTATTCCCTACTCAGTTTGAAGGAAATAATAGAACTATTTTAGATGCAAGAGCAAATGTGTTTTCATGCCATTCCTAGCTCACATTTTTACATTATATTGTTTATATACAGAAGCCTCATTTAAGGGCAAAAATCAAAGTAATCATGGGAAAGTTCAAGTGCACACTGAAAGCCACAAAACAATGGTTTTCAAACTTTAGTGGAAAACCTAAGGAACATGTTTAAAAATAAATTAATAAAAGCAGATTCCCTCCTCAGGTTCTGGGGGTTCAATTCAACGGGTCTGGGTAGGCCCAGAATCCCGCGAGGGGCTCTGGGCAGGAGCCCCTTGGTTCACTTGAAAAGCGCTTTCTGGAAGGGATCTGACAAGGAGGCCGAGCATTCTGGGAGCCTGCGTCCTCTGATCTAGCAGGTGCTGCCTTCACTCACCTCATTCGACCCAGCATTCCATCGCTTTGGCCTGAACAAGCGTGCCCAGTGTTTCTAAGATTCAGGGTTTTTATAGAAACCCTGCACCTCAGAGACGACCTAGTTCAGACCTCATGCCACACACTAACTCACTGATTGGGAGATGACCTCAGAGAGGTCCATCACGTGCCCCAGGCCACATAAATGTCAGAGTCTGGAGGGCGACGAAGGGCTCGGTCTTGGCACAGCACACAGCCCTGTCTCCCAGAGCAAGTCCTTCTCTGCACTTCCCCACAGCCGCCCGGGGAAGTGGCTGTGTGGACGCCCCTCTCCCCAGATTACTGCCTTGGCTGCAGGAGGCGCTGACTCCCATGATGCCCTCCTGCCAGGCTGGAACACATTTCTCCACGATGGCAGAAGAGCTCCTCTGGCTGGTGGGCCCCATCCCACTGTGCAGTCACGGTCAGCACAGGACGAGGAGAACAGAGACCAGGCAGCTGCACATGTGTCCTTAGGAAAGTACACTCGGGGCAGGGACGAGAGCCTCAGTCAGGAGCAATGTGGCTAGGTCCCCTCTGTCCCCCCTGCTCCAGCTGTGCGGTGCTCTTTCTGTCCCCCTCAGTTCTAGTCCCTCATCCCTGCAACCGCCTCCGGGATTCAGCAGCAGGAACAACAGGACCCACTCAGGTCCCCTGACCAAGGCTGAGTCCTCTAACTTTTCCCAGAAAGCTTTGCACTGGGATCTCGGGCTCTTGCCCAGCCAGGAGGAAAGCTGGGGCTTGATTTCCATCCTCCTTTCTGCCTGGGTGTGTACACTGGCCACTCAGAACACCGGGTGTCAGAATTCCTGAACTCCCAAGCAGTGCGCACCATGCATTTCATCGTAAGTGAATCGTTTTTGGTGAGATCCTTCTGAGTCACTCAAAAACAGACTTCTCTGGAAGGGGTTTGAGACTGCCCTTACCTCTAGATTAAGACTGATGACCAGGGTTCTGCTCATTTTCATCACATCAATTTAATAAATGAAAAGAATATTTTATATAAAAAATATTTTATATTCTAGAATTGGAATTGTCCATCTGTTCTCCAGGCTCATGGCTAAACAGAAAGCATGTCGCTGTGCCTGGCTCGCAGCCTGCCCACCACATGCCCCAATGCTTGCTCTTTCTTCCCTCCATGCTCCGTTCACACGTCTCCTGACCTGTCTGGGGGCTGAATTCTCATTCTGTTATTCTAACTTTTGAAGTCTATCGTATCTCTGTCTTCACTGGCATCTGCACTTCTGCCCCAAGAGCATCACCCTGCCCTGTAAGTAATAAAGATGATCGCATGGATTAGTCTTAACCGTTGTCTTTACACTCAGCAGAAATTACCTATGTTTTATAAAATCCCATCTTGTAGCTGTTGCTTTATGATCCTCATTAATCTTCTGAACACTGACACAATACTGAAGTGAAATACTGTCCTGATTTACACATATTTGAAGACACAGTGTTTTTCATCCTAGTAACCCTTCAGCATGGGCACAGAGGGAGTCCTCCTGGACATGAGGATGGACTTGATGCCCCCACCCCGGAAGAGACCACATGAGCCAACCTCTGGTGTCTGCTTCCAAAATCGGGGGGAGGGAGGACGGAGGAAAGACTGAAGGAAGCTGGGGAGGTACATGGGGTTCATCATACCTCCCCACTTCTGGACAAAGGCATGTCCAATATCTTCCACAGGAAAGTTTTAAAAAAGAAAACAAGACTAGAGCCAGGCCCTGCGGATCTCCAGGATAACTGCCTCGCCCTCTTCCTCATCTCCGCTGGGCAGATGACAGCTTCCTCTGCAGCTCCCGTCTCACAGTGTTTAATTTTACTTTTTCTATTCAGTACTACGTTCCACTAAGGACAAAGACTGCCAAATTCATTTTACCAATTAAAAGACAAATTCTTGATGTCTTTTCTTTAGCCTGGGCCTTAGATAAAGGACTGAATCCATGGTTCATTCTCTGAGACCAAAATCAAAGAAAAAAGAAAAGAGGGGAAGAGACGCTGATGCAGATAAACCACAAACATAAACAGTTTCTGACAGACATAAGAGATAAGTAAATTATTTTTTTAAAAAAACCTCTTTGCTACTATTATGGTCACAAGGCTTACATGGTGACAAGAGACGCCCAGAGCAACTCTCGCCCACAAGCACCAACATACACTGTGCAAGTGTGGGGTTGCTCTATGACACGGTTACTGTAGACTACGGGGCACGGCTGTGGGTTAACAGACCCTCCCATAGGGGGGCCCTCACTCTCAAATGTCTCTGTGGAGAAGAAATACCTCTGCAAGGGTGCTAACACCTTCAACCAAAACCAGCCACTTCCTGGGCACAAAAGGCCCCACAAAAAACCACGCTAGGAAGCATGCTGGAGGCTCTCTTCTGTGTGTTTCAGGTTCTTCTCAAACGGCCCAGTCCCAATGCCCAAATATGGACTTTGCCCCCTTCCCCTGTGCATTTCCTCTCTGAGACCTCCTCGGTCACACGTATATGTCACACACACAGACAGCCACTAGCTCCCAAGGACAGGTCCCCCTCCGAGGCGCAGAACCCAGACCTCGGGAGACTGCATGCCACGCTCTGAAGCACCTGGCCCTGAGGACAGCACATGCGTTGGGTGGAAGGTGGGGGCACTGGTGGTCAGCTCCCAGCACTCTCAGAGGGGACACAGGGGACAACGGGTTCTGAGAGGAAACGAGGTACAGGATTTCGGGTCCAGGCCCATAAGGGCTGGCAAGCAGCATCCCTAGTCCTTGGCTATTAAATTTCTTAGATTCTAAGCTTATGTGCATGCCACAGTGGTCTCTCATTATTGTGCCTTTACGTCCCAAGCAGCAGAGACACCGATGCCTTCAACAGCCCTCCTTTCTACCCTGCAAAAGCACAAGAGTTCTGGGCTTTAGCTCCAAGGCTCCCATTCTTGGAACTTGGCAAAATTAATTCTCACTTGGGCTCTACATATTTCAGAAAATGGCCTCTGAATGAAAACTACAAAATCCAAAATGAAGCAGATGCCAAGTAGCCCAGAAAAAAGAGCCCTGGAGGCAACCTTGACTCTGGTCCCACTGCATTGTGGACTCAGAAACAAAAACTATCTCAGCAGCAGCTCCAAGAGCACAAAGTCACACTCAAGCACAAGAGGTGCCAGACCACTGGCCCCTGCACCACACAAACATACACACAGACACACACACACACACAGAAGGTCCTCTCCTCTCCTACCAATAAAAAAGAAAACAAAGAAAGTGAAGGCAGCAACAAGCTCAGTCAGTGGGAATAAGTGGTGTTTCTCTCCACTGATTTCATTTCCATCAAAGGTGCCACCATTTCACTCTGAGGTCTCTCAGTTCCCCGGAAATGTACCAAAAAGATGGTGCAGCAGAAGGAGCAATGTGATCGCCACAAACTTCTCAGAAAGGAAGACTGGAAAAGCTCAGATTCTTATTGACTTTTATTCTCCTCCCTCACAGGGGATCAAGAGAGCTCATCTTACAAGGAATTCAAATCACTGCTCTTTCTAGCAACTTCTCTGGTTCCACTGGTGCTGTCATCCCAGGACGTGGTCCTTCAATCTCCTTAAAGTCATTACCTATGAGGCCTGCTCCCTCCTTTTGGAAGCGGCCTTGCCCCAGCTCCTAGCTCCTGTCTCCTCTAACTGGTTTGGTTATCAGGCAGCATCTCTGTGGGTCCTCTGCCTAATAACTCTCTGAGAGCAAAACCAGTCTCCCTCACTTCTAACATCTCACCAGAGAGCACTGTTCCTCATGGGTGCTAGGTGGCGGATACTGGCTGAATAGAAGATGGCCTTTAACAAATAGAAGTTAGTAAAATTCTCGTCCACACCTCCCGGTCACCAGCATCTTCCTCTCGGGGCAGAGGACGATAGACAACAGCCACCTGCTGCTGGCAAACCATCTAGCAATACTGTCCGTCACACAGTCAGTGGTGGGCTGAGAAAAATGCTGCACATTACCCTGGTCGAAGCCACCACGTCTGTAATAAGCCAGTGCCAGCTCCTCCACGGAACACAGGACTGTAGCAGGGGCAGTGGCCTCCTCGGCCTCCATCACAAACACAGACTTGCCCATCCCACTCTGCGGGCACAGGCGGCCCGTGATGGTCACCTGGAACAGCAGTGGGAGAACGTGGATTAGCCTCACTTCAGCTACAATCCCTGCAAACCTGACTTTGGTGTCCTGAGGATGCACTTTCCTAGGCCCCTCAAAGCCACTCATTCCTAGCAGAGCATGTGGCCATGTGACCCCACACTCTGGTACCTGCCAGGATGCAGAAAGGTCACTGCCCCAGCCCACAGGGAGCATGTGGCCCCCAGAGCTGCTCTCCAGGCCCCTGATCAAGCAGGTGAACCTGACAAAGGCTGTGAGCTTCTGACTCAGGAGTTTTAGAGAAACTCCCGAGGCATGAGCTACCCACGCCGCAGCCAGCCCAGCCTTCTGACCTGGGAGGCACTGGTGTGAAACAGGGAGCAACAGCCAAGTCAGTGCCTAAAATGAGCATTAGATTTTTCTATGTCTAAGAGAAAAATGCACACTAAAAGTTCTTGTGCTACTTCCAGTCAGGAAAAAAACTCAGTAATTAGATTTAAATACAAAGGGCCCAAATATTCACTCACATGTGTAACATCTTCCACAGTTATTTCTGGGAGCTGATGGAAGAGGCGCCTATACTTCCGACAGCTTGGAGACTCCCTCAGGCGCACAGCTCTCTGATAAAGTGAAAGACGATGTCCTGTTCTCACTTCTGGGTCAGCCAGCCCTTCTGTGATGCACTTGATAGCCTAGCAAAGAATATGATCCCACAGTGAGATCCTAAAAGACCCTCTGGCAGCATCCACCAATTTAGTGTGACAGGAAACCCCACGGTGAATTATTCATTCAATTGTGCTAATTAGCAAATGGGCAAAGCAGTACTTCCAGACAATAAGGATATCTCCCTAAGTGTCATTCTGATACTCTGAATGCACAGATGACTCATAATCCCTGACTATTCATGTCTGGAGCACAAGTGGCCGAGCTCCTGACACTGCTTTCTGGTGATACGTGCAGACGTGGTAGGTATCAGCTGGCACATCCTCAGAGACCTAGACAGTCAGGGACATCCCTGGTTGGTGGGCTGAAGAAGACTGGAGAGAAAGTCCTGGCTCAGTGGTCCTCAGGGCATCACCTGGGGAGCTCTGACAGAAGACATATGTCCCCGCCCAATCCACAGAATGAGCACCTCCAGGCCAGGGGTACAGGCGTCCGACTGTTTCAGAGCTCCCAGGTAAGTCTCACGTACAGTCAGGAACCACAGAGCTGGTCCAAATTCCTCATTTACAGGGAGAAGAACCTTAGGTTTGGAGATGTCAGATGCATTTCCTAAGGTTATTCAGAGTTGGACAAATAAACAAACAAAAATACCCCCCAAAAAAAACCACACTAGGATATCAGTTCACACCTACCAGGATGACTATAATCAGAAAAATGGAAAATGCTAAGTGTTGGTGAGGAAGTGGGAGAAATTGGGACACTCATGCATTGCCAGCAGGAATGTAAAAATGACTCAAACACTGAAAAACAGTTTGGCAGTTCCTCCAAAAGCTAAACGCAGAATTACCATATGACCCAGCAATTCTACTTCTGGGTATACATCTAAAAGAAATGAAAGCAGAGTTTCAAACAGATATTGGTATACCCATGTTCAGAGCAGCATTATTCACAATTGCCAAAATGTGGAAACAACCCAGGTGTCCATCAACAGATGAATGGATAAATAAAATGTGGTCTATCCATACAATGGAATATTATTCAGCCTTGAAAAGGAAGGCAATTCTGATACCTGTTACAACATAGATGAACCTTGAGGACACTATGCTAAGTGAAATAAACCAGGCATAAAAGGACAAATATTATATGATTCCACTTACATGAACTATCTAGAACAGACAAATTCATAAAAACAGAAAGTAGATTAGAGGTTACTAGGGGCTGGGGGGAGGAGAGAATGAGAAGTTATTGCTTAATGGGGCAGAGCTTCTGTTGGGAGTGATGAAAAGGTTTGGAAATAGATGGTGGTGATGCTGGCACAACATTGGGAGTATAATTAATGCCACTCAATTGTACAACTAAAGATTGTTAAAATGGCAAGTTTTACTTATGTTATATATATTTTACTACAATAAAAGAATAAAAAGTCAAAAAAAAACCCACAACCCTGCAAATCAATGAAGGATCAGGCCATCAGGAGTGGAGAAGTCCAAAGGAATCAAGAAGAGAGAATGAGACACTGAGGTGCGCTGTTACCCCAGCAGGGGCCAGTGCCGGCGGGGCCTGGCCGGGTTGCTCCTCTGCCTGGCCTGGCCAGCTCCTGGGCACTTTGCAGGAAGCAACACTCTGCTGGTAGATTCCATCACTGGAGACCGATGTAAAGAACAGAAGGAATGGTAACAAAATAATAAAGATTATGAGTGTGACCTGTAAGATCTTTGGGAAAAGGCTAAAAGGAACTATGATTTTCCATCAATCTCAAAAATAAGCTCAGCGGCTTGTCTATCTCTGAGAATAGGAGGGAATGCTCCTATTAGTAGAACAAGGGGGAAATTTGTCCACTCTTTTGAATCTTTATTTCATTGAAAGAAAGAGCCAGCATAAACCACCTTTCTCCAGTTTCGTTCTGGGCTAACGGACGCCTTCTCTTGCTATTTCAGCCCGAGCAAACAGCAAGAGGCAGGGAAGCACCACACGCGCCTCCCAGAGCAAAAACAGCCCTCACTGGCCTGAAGCACTTTAGGTAACAAGGCACTTTTTCAGCTTCAGGCAGTACAAACAGTATGTCATATTTCCACACCCATGGTCAATTTTTCCGCCCCTGCATCACCCTGATTCACTTAATGTGCCACTGGAAAAAACAAAAGAGGCACAGTCCCCTCCATTCAACACAAATGCAAAGCTGGCGTGGAGACAGGTGGAGCCTCGGGCAGCCACACAAAGAGCCACTGTTGTCGCCAGGCACAGCAGCGGCAGGCTTCAGAGGCACCACCCTGCTGGACCAAGGCAGCTAACAGGATACTTGGACTCCCAAGATCCTTGGCACAGAGAATACCAGCGCCCGGGAGAGAAGGTTCCCTGCTCAGGGCTAGTCAGACAATACACTTCCCAAGGGAAAGGACACCTTTCGTCAATCTTCCTACCTGGAGGCCCCACGCAAAAAGTTAATAAAATCACCATTTCCAGAAAAGGAAGCACCTGCTGAGGGTGGAGACGTCTAACTCTCCCTAGATCTTATTTCCTAAATCCCAACCAGATCCTCCTGCCAACCCATCTCCCAAATCAGTGATGGGAAGACAAAAGTCTCCTGTCTTCACTGTAACGCTTGTGTTAGCATCCTTGCTACTTCTTTTGGGGTTGGAGGAACACAGACAAAAGAAGAATGCTAAAAAAATAAACATTCAAACTATATTTACTTTTTTTTTTTTGAGGAAGATTAGCCCTGAGCTAACTGCTGCCAAGCGTCCTCTTTTTGCCGAGGAAGACTAGCCCTGAGCTAACATCCGTGCCCATCTTCCTCTACTTTACATGTGGGACGCCTACCACAGCATGGCTTGCCAAGCAGTGCCATGTTTGCACCCAGGATCCGAACCCGTGAACCCAGGGCCGCCAAAGCGGAATGTGCGCACTTAACTGCTGTGCTACTGGGCCGGCCCCTGTATTGACATTTTTAAGGTATTACTAGTTCGCCATATTTTTTAAATTTATGCAAAAGCAAAAAGAAGGCTTGGATATATCTAGTCACTGAGTACCGGTTCAAGGCGTTTCAAGTGCTGGTGCAAGTTGAGAGCCAGTCTGTCCCACCACCGGCCTCTGCTGTCAGGACAGTACACTTTCTGGGACAAAAGGTCTTCAAGTTCCTTGACTGCTTCCTGTTGCAACAACAACAACAAAGGGGGCTCATTAGACTCACACACCAAAAAACTCTAATTATATTTAGTAGCCAATAAAATTTGCAAAGTATATTTATAAAGCATACCTTTCCTTCCTAAAATAAGGCCAAGGATCCCAGACTAACAGGACAGGGACTCGGAGACGTCCCTCTAGGGTGGGCCTGAGCTCCGAGGCATCCCTACATTCTTCGCAGGTCCCCTGCCAACCGGCGAGCACACCGAGATCTGTGCACGTGTTCTCTGCAAACCAAGTCAACCAGCGCAGGGCCGCAGAGGCTCAAGCTCTATGTGGCCGAGCACTGGTCAGGGGCTGCAGACCCACATGCTCCTGGGAACCCAGGAGGTCACAGGGCCCACAGTGTGAGGAATTTGGCAAGGGCAAGACAGTAACGATGGGTGTCTTCACCCAAGGATCCCACCTCAACAGGGAGACTTTCTGGATCTACACACAAACTGTTTGGTGATTCTTTATATTAATCTTTTGTGGTTCATGAATCTCCTTGAAACATCTAATGATTCTCCTCAGAAAAATGCACAAACCCCCATATACGCACAATTGTGGAGTTTACAGATTCCAGAAGCTCATCCCATGGATCCTCTTAGGATCCAGGGACCCAGGTCAAGAAACCCAGCTGCAGCATATCCTTTGCAAAACATCATTTTTCAATACAGAAACGTCAAAACATAACAAAAGTTAACTCTAGCAATCTCACAATGTTTAGTATAAGGAAGGATACAACCAAATTTCTGACTTGTGATTGTAAATTACTTCCAGACAGTCCAGGACAGCTGTCAGGGAAACACAAGCAGATGTGCGGTCTCCACCTCAGAGAGTTCTGAAGACCTCCCAAGTCCCACACGGAGTTCTGAAAGGGGCTCAGACTCAGCTGCAGGCCCTGTCTGGGCTCCCTGCAGGGCTCTGTCCATAACCCCCAGGCATCCTGGTGCACACTCAACTCATGAGCCGACGAAACAGTTGGTGGTCTTCGGCCGTCTTCCCACCACCCAGGAGACAGCAAGCTGCCCACATGAGGTACGCTTTCATTACATTACTGTACACTGCCCAAACACATGGAAAATGTCGAGAGCACGGCAGGCTCTCCTCCACAGCTTATCACAGACACATCAGCAAGAGCGGGGCCTGCAGCTTGTGCTCTCACCTCATACATGTGAAGTCTCTGCAGTATTTCAACAGTCCGAGACAAAATCCTTGTATAAATCCACCCGACAGTAAAACACCGAAGAAAGAGTGGTAGATTCTCATGGTATCTGAAATGAAGACGCACACCAGCAGTTTAGTAATCTGGTTTATTTGTTGTAAGACAATTACGCGAAGTAAGAGAGCAGATTCAATTCCTACCTTTTAAAAAATACTGTCAGTTGTGTACAATTTTCTACACCACAAACCTACATCCTTACAGCCAGCCACCATTTCCTAGGTCACTTAGACAGTGGAGTAAAATGAGAGCTGGTAATATTCTAAGCAGGAGGTCAGTAAACTACGGCCCTCGGGCCAAACCCAGGGCCCACCACCTGATTTTTGTATGTCCTGCAAACTAAGCATGGTTTTCCCATTTTTAAATGGTTAAAATAAACCAAAAGGAGACTAGTCTGCGGTATGTAAAAATTATATGAAACTCTTATCTCAAAGTCCCTAAATAAAGCCATATTGGAACACAGCCCCACTCATTCATTCACGTTCTGCCTGTGGCTGCTCTTGCAGCACAATGGCAGAGTTAAGTAGCTGCAACAGAGACCATATGACCTGCAAAGCCTAAAATATTGACTAGCTGGCCCTTCACAGAAGAAGTCTACCAACCTTTGTTCTGTAGCAATCTAACTTCCTGGTAAAGATTTCCTTTTTTTTTTTTCAATGAAGAAAATCATCTATTAACTTGTTTTAAAACATTTTTTTGCTGTTTGGTCTGAGAAATGTTAACAAATTTTCCTAAATTATCTTAAGAAAATCCTCCAACGTATGTACACATCACAAGCGTAACAAATCCACATTGGTTACCTCATTTCTAGAAAGGTCTTTTAGGAAATGCATCAATTTTCTGTCTGAATTACAGAATCCTCCCAAACAAAATATAGGCAAAGCATTCAGTTATTTTTTTCTTAACAGTAAAGGCCATTTTCTTGGCTCTGGTTTTTAAGGCAATATTTTTTCTGTATGAACTTTATGTCCCAAATGTCTTTTTGAAAGAGATATTTAACAATACTAGATTTTCTCATCACTAGTCACAACAGAGGTAAAAATTTCTTAACAAATACGAAATATGTTTAACATTGAACAAACAAAAACAAAGAAGGGTGATGTGCTGTGTACTTGAACTTTTAAAATAAATGTTCAATTTAGTTTTCTTTTTCAGAATAACGCCTACTTGAATTTCCACTGAAGAACACATCTAGCATGCTTCCCACAACTTCTGTCCTGCTGCTGGGTTTCCCCAAATTTAAATGCAGCTGACCACCACTCAGAGAAGCCAACACACCCAAAGACTGCAAGCTCAAAGCTGTGTGTGTGTTCACTTGAATGCCTGTTGCACAAGGGCCTGAGTTACAGAAAATTCACTTCAAACTTTTAGACATTTCTTCTCTTTCATGCAGCACCTTGACTCTACACAAAGCAAATCAGAAATTCAAGTCCACAGAAAAAAAGGAGTATGTTCTTTGTGAAGAAAATTACCTTATGTGGTTGGAACAACTTGGCCAATAAGTAAATTTTGACAAGTACCTAAAAAAAAATCTCACCTCAGGGAAGGGTGGTTTTTCAGCTTGTTCCAATCCCTTTTTGCACACTGAGAGAGCTCTTTAGCTTCTTTCCAGTTCCCATTGGCCATTGCAGTAGAAATGTCACTCAGCATGTGTGCAGCTGCTGCATATCTGTGGAAGAAAACCACGCGATCCAAGCTTCAAATGTGAATGAGCACATATATAAAAAATTACCACATCCTACCCACTAGATCTAATTCGGAAGGGTAAAAGTGTGTTTTGAAAATAAAAGGGTTATTTACATTTTATTCTAGTAATAATTTACCAGTATCCCACTGGAGTGGCTTAGAAGAACTAATACAGGCTACCCAACTAGAAAGACAAAAACATTCATACTGTATTATTACACAACATGTTCCATTATACAAATGTAATATTGATCAGCTTATCATTTCCGATTTTTAGTACTCATTCATTCATTCACTCAACAATCTGGCAGCAACCACATAAACACGTAACTGACTTCAGAATTATATTGAGGTGTAGATTGGGTAACTTAATCACTGAGTCAGAGATAGCCAGAGGGATGCTACGCAAACTAAGAGAATTACTTGGGATTTTCAAAAATAACTTCAGGGACACTCTGGGAGATAGCAACGCTGAAATGCTATAAAACCACTTAGCTGAAGAAAGACAACTTCTCACTGCACTTTTAGATACTAAAAACAAGGACATCTGCCCAACTGATTCTGTAACACTTTGAGTACACAGTCATTGTATTTTGGACTCACACCTGAAAGAAAAGCATGCAGTATCAGTATGTGCAAATATGAGCAAATAAGAGTAAAAGAAATTGCCTCTAAATGTAAAAATTTGCTCACAAACTCTTGCTCTAATTCTCTTATAATATGCTAATAGACAATTCTAAGGTCAATAAGAAAAGAGAATATAACACGGAGAAAGTGCCTGGAGGCTGGCCCAGCCTCCCCACCTCAGCCCCTCCCACAGTCCAGAGGGTCAGGAGCAGCCCCTATGCACCCGGCTGTGAGCTTGAACCTAGCCCTACCCTCAAGAGGCCATACAAACCAAGCCCATCACGCCTCCTCTCCCCAGCTACCTCCATCGCCACCAGCCACAGTTACCAGCCCTCATCTCACCCAAACCTTTCCCCAGCACTGCGTGGAACTGCCAAACCAGGAGCAGCATCTTCTTCCACATCCTCAACCTCTCCCCTCCACCCTCTGTCTCCTTCCTTCTCTAAAACCTGGCTGAGAACGTGGCTTCCCCTACAGCCCTCTCAAGTGGGGGATGGCTCTTCTCACAGCCCTCCCATTCAGGGCTGAGACCGACGGAGGAGTCCTCCTTTCTTCCCATGGCTACTTCTAAATCATTCTTCCCTCCTGGAAAGCCTCCCATTCCTTGGAAGCTCACGTTCCTTCTTGCAGACATCTACCAGCCTCCTGTCATCTTCTGCCTGCTCTACCTCATGTCTCTTGCCATCATGGCCTCCACCATCATGGCCTGTGACTTCAACATCTGTGAGGATGAAGAATACACTCAGTTTCAATACCTCCTCACCAATAACCCCTTTCTCCACCTTCTGTCTCCGATGAACTACAGCATCCTTGAAATCTAGATTTCAAGCATTTCACTCACTGACCTCTACCACCAATCCTTTCAGCTCATTTACTGAAGACAACAATGCCCCAACTTCACCAAGACCCCTACCTGACACACTTGCCCCCACCAGGATCCCCACTTCCCCAGCTGTAAGCAACTCTTGTCCTGCAGGCCTACATACCCCACCCAGAGTCAACCAGTCCACCACTCACCAGTGAACATACTGTTCACCTAGACCCCCTAGTCACAGTGTCCATGTTGACCTCAGAGCCTGTACCCAGCTCCCTGAATTGTGCTGGAAAAATAACAGGCCCAGTCTGACTGATTTCACTTTATTTTTGTTTGTTTGTTTTGTTTTGAGGAAGATTAGCCCTGAGCTAACATCTGCCACCAATCCTCCTCTTTTTGCTGAGGAAGACTGGCCCTGAGCCCATTTGTCCCCATCCTCCTCTACTTTATATGTGGGATGCCTGCCACAGCATGGTTTGACAAGCAGTGGGTAGCTCTGCCCCCAGGATCCAAACCAGCGAACCCTGGGCCACTGAAGCCGAATTTGTAAAATTAACCACTGGGCCACCAGGCTGGCCCCTGGTTTCACCTTAATTCGAGATGAGGTTGCAAATGAGCACTTACTCCGGCACCTCCGTCTGGCCAGAGCTCCCCTGGGAAGTCTGCCTTCGCACTCCACAGGACGGCTACTTCCTACCTGTGCCTTCCCAGCCACACTCCCCATGGAAGCTTCCTCATGAGACCTTTCCCAGGGGATGAGGGGCCCCAGGCCACGAGAGGGGCCCTTTCAGCTTCCCTCCACTGCAGCCTCAGCCCTGCCCCTACTCCTGTCCTACTCCCAAAATATTTCATACAAGTTCACTTCTCTCCACTGCTGCTGGACCTAGCACAGTCAAGCCCTTCGCCTAGCCCACCAAGGTTCAACCAGCCCTCCGGGGGCTCCCCTGGCCACCCTCCACCCCCAATCCACAGGAGGCTTTGGTAAACTGTGAAACAGATCCCTCACCTGCCTAAACCCCTTCAACAGCTTCCCAGTACTCGGAGAACACAAGTCGGTCTGCTCGCCAGGGCTTCTGAGGCCAAGCACCCCTGGCCCTACGTTCCTGTCACCTTCCCCCACATGGCTGGCTCCCGGGGCTTTGGTCTGGAGCTCCTCTGAGACTCTCCGCCTCAGCAAGCTCTCCCCGTTCTCAGGGGGTGTGCACACGCTCTCCATGCTGCCTGGATGCAGGCCCCCAGACCTCCGCACAACGGGCTCCTCCGCACTCTCAAGTCTCACATCAAACATCACCTCTCCAGGGACACTCTGCCTGACATTCTACACACAAAGCAGAACTTCTCCAGCCCACTCCTCAATTTTCATAGCACTTTTCACACACTGTAATTTTCTGTTTTAGTTTCTATCTCCCTCAGTAAAATGCAACCCCGTGAAAGCAGACATCTGTGTTGTTCAAGCTGCAAACTCCCCCACCCAGGCACCTGAAGGGACTCAACACTCATCTCAGGTGTACTGAATAAACGAGGAAAAAGTAAAGGAAGGGTCCACTATTTCCAAGCACCAACGTGGGCAGAAAGGGTTCTCAGGGAGATACCACATTCCCAGGAATTGCATAATTACCCTTCCTGAAGCCAGCAAAGTCCAATTTCATTTACATGTTAAGGCCCTTTGCATAACAAAATGAGTTTTAATTATTTTTTACTATTTACAGCATACTTGCTTTCCAAAAAGAATACAGATGGCTTATTTTTTCTCCCTAGCCCCCTTACTTTTGAACTTAACCATGGTTTTGTCAATCATACAACTGAAAAATAATCTCCCTTAGATAAATCAGTAATAATGACAATTATAATGCTAACTAAGATGCACTAAGCAATCCCCATAGTCCAGGCTCTAAGTACTTCACATGTGACAACAAACATTTGCAGGAATATACTATCATTCTCCCCATTTTACAGATGAAGAAACTGAGGCACAGAGTGGTTTCAATTCATTAGTTTAGAGACTGGAACTTGGCTTCAGAGTACACATTCTCACAAAAGAGAAAAGCATAAAGTGACTAAAAATGAAAAGGCAAAAAGACATGAGACAACTGAAAACAGGGTAAGGAGAAATATTCTTATTAGAAGATTTGACTAAAAATGATTCTAACTGAACACAAACAAGATATTGAGCTTCCTGGTAACTAAAGCAAAATGGGCTAAAATCAGTTTATAGTGACACTGCTTTGATTCAATAATTTCAATAATTTACTTTTTAAAGCACATACTAGGCAACACTTCCACAACTTTTCTAAAATCAAGTATGAGAATTAATAAATTTGAGTCATAAACCTTAAATCAAGAATCAAAAGTAATATTTTAGGAAAATATTATATTAGGAAAAGTAACATTTAGGAAATCCAAATTAATTTTTCTTATAAAAGGTGGTTTTTTAAGAAAATCCAAGCATTTTTTTTCCTGTAGGAACTATATCACTCTTTATTAAAATTTACTTTTGTCAATCAAACCAAATATTCACTAAATCCATGTACCAAAATATATCAGTGAAAATTTCTAATCATCATGTGCATGATTCTTGTGTACGGTACAAAAGTCAGCATTAGCTATGCTAATGCCTTATTAAAAGGAAAACATTCATCTTCAGCCTTGTTCATGCCAACAACATATTTACAAGGCAGGCTTGTTCAAATGTCTATATTTAAAAAATGCTCCCTGCCAAAGCTATTTGGGAACGTGAGCCAGGGAAAATTTTTGTAGCTCTAACTCAAAACTCACTGCTTTTGGCAACCTTAATCTAAGCACATTTCTACATTCTCCTGTAGTCTTAGAAATGTATACAAGTGAGGCATAAAGATAACAAAAATCTTCAAAAACTGTTTTAGCTATCGACTTACGTTTCTACTGTGGCTAGCAAAAAATTAATAACCTTTTACATAAATTTAAAATACACAGCTATTATAGTGAGCTTCTCACCTGATAAGATCGTCTCTATCTTGGAAGATCTGGGTTTTCCGATTGATGGTATACCTAGGAAACTCCACTCGGCCGAGATTGACCAAGAGCACAGTAGAAAGCTGTCCCTGACCACCACAGGCGGCTTCCTCATCTTCCAGTGAATCGGTCAACGAAAACAGAAGCAAGATGCGGGAAAACACAGCCCGGGGGCCTTTACAGACTCTCAGTGACTGTCCCACCAAGTCTTTAGCTCTGAAACATATACAACACAGAAATAACTTTCTGGTTTTTAAGCATTTGGATATAAGATTTTATAAATTATTTTCAGATAAAATAAAGATAAGTGGCATTGATTATTCTAAGCCTGACACAAATCTACCACTTCCAGTTGTGTAACAGTGGAGCATTTCTTAACTTCTCTGGGGCAAAGAGCCCCATCTAGGGATAGAGTGAGGGTTAAACGAAATTATATCTCCAGTTTCACTCATGGTTTGGCTGAATAAAAAAGCAAGATAGGGTTGACGCTGGTCGTGAACATGTAAAATACCAAGAAAACTCATAAAAGTATTACCTATTTGACATTAGCAACTCTTACATCTTGACTTGAGTGACAATTTACATTCAATAATAGGTATTTATTTAAAACGTCATTATCAAAGGCTCTTGGTAAGGCAGCATGGTTTTGTAACAGGCAGTGGTACAAATTTAGACCAAAGTTTGGTGCTATTCTCTGATGTGCAAAGCAGTCCAGAGCATCTCCATTCCCAAGGTAATCTCAGAGTGAATTCCGTTTGATTCTGGATGCCTTCAAGGTGGGCTTAGAGGTCTGAATTAAATTCAGGGATATGTGGGCCCTATGGCTCTAACAACTTAGATACCATCTAGAGCAAGGTTTCTCAACCTCAACACTGTTGACCTTTGGGCTGGATAATTCTTTGCTGGGTGGGGCCTGTCCTGCTCAGGATGCTCAGCAGCATCCGTGGCCTCCACTCACTAAATGAGTAACAACCACTCCCCCACTTAGTCATGACAATCAAAAATGCATCCAGACATTGTCAGACGTCCCCTGGAGGGCAAAATGACCCCAGCTGAGAACCATGGGCCTAGTGGAAGACCTCATACTTTCTTATCCATCCCAGAAGCTATTAAACAAAAGCAGTGCTGCATCCCTAGAGGCCACCAGGATGAGTAGAGACTAGTGCCACCATCAAAGACCTACGGGGACAAGGGTGGGATCCTATCATACCACCATTTAGTTGAGAAGCATTCATGTACAGAGACTGATAAAAAGTGCCCACTTCCTCCATCTCCATGCAGAGCCCCAGGAATGTCCCGTGGAGCAAGGCTCCAAGTTGCTGAAGGAAGCATTAAATATGGCAAAATGAACAGTGACTATGTACTAGGACTAAGAAAGTGTAGATACTGAGCCTTTTTCCGTTTCCTCAGGATAACAGCAGAATAAGATAACCAGGCACTGCCCTTGGGTGGGGCTGTCAGAGACTCTGCGATTCCACTGTTGGGCTCCACAACAAAATGAAGAAATAAAGTACAGTCTTAAAGGACAGTGATTTTAGTACAACGAAGAGTCTTGAGAATCTCATTTTCCTACAAGTCCAAAATCTGTAATAAAAAAGGTTAATCACTTATTTCTGTTCATACGCTAAGCGCTGATACTGCTAATTTTAATGTTCACTTATAAAATGTTATGTTAAGGTTAACAAAATACTTAAGAAATACAATTAGATAAAGAAAGGACTCAGAAGACATTTGACATACCACAGGGGTAGAGGATTTTATACTCCTAAAGTCAATCAACTATAAATATATAATTTATTAAAACACTTTTTAAAAATCTACAGTATAAACTTTTTTGAAGTATCGTAGGTGGCATTTTTCTTAATAATGTATGTCTTATTTATACCTATGTTTTATTAAAGACTAGTATTTGTACTATCTTCCTGACAAGGATGGGTTCTTGTAACATAACAGCTGAAAGTTACCTCTGTGTGCATGCAAGTGTGTATGTGTGTATGTGTATGTGTATGTGTATGTGTGTGTGTGTGTGTGTGTGCGTGTGTGTAAATGTATATACGCCTCCAAACATTGTCAGATGTTCCTTGAAGGGCAAAATGGTCCCCAGATGAGAACCATGGGCCTAATGGAAGACATCACACTTTCCTATCCATCCCAGAAGTGTATACATATATAACACACACACATATATAACATACAAAATAAACAACAATGACATTGTTTTAAAGTGTTTTCAAAAGCATCATCTCATATCATCCTCAACAACTCCAGAATAGTGGATTCCCAGATTAAAGTTGATATAGTTGTATTTTATAGATAACGTGGGCAGAAGAAATAAATTCTAAGATTTTGCAATCTTCCCCAAAGTGAAACAGTTCAAGGGCTTCACAAGTACAAAAGAAACTACCTATTGTTTTTGGTAAACTTTTATGTTTAAACTTGAGAAAAGCTGCATATTAAGATTGACAGATTATACTTTAATAAAAAGCTACTAAAATAAAAATTTGACTGAATAGTTTACCCCTAAATCCTGTAAGACTAGTAGTTAAAACTGCACTTTTCTTGAATAAAATACTACAATTTACTAAAGACTTACTGCCTTTATTCTCTTGTCTCCTGATTTTTCTTGGCCCTAGAAATTAATACAGTATTATAAGAATTATGAATAATAAATCAAGAAAGAATCCAGGCTATTTAATTAGGACTTTTACGCCTTCTCAATCTAATTGCAAATGAACTAAGCAATTAAAATGAGAAAACATGTACCATCTATTATAATAAGTTAATATGTACTATCAACATTTTAAAATGTTTTTACTGTAACAATAGCCAACAAAACCTTTTTAAAATCACTGCACCGATTCCAGACTGATTCTTGCCCCAAGTGCAGACTGAAGGCTGTTTGGCCAATTTAAGAAAGGCGTCCACCAGCTGCTGTTTCTGTCCATTGGGATTCACCAAGTGGAAGGTCTTTGCCAGGGTTTTTAGTTCAGGAGCAGAAAGTAGTTCAAGCACTTCAGAAAGTTCTTGCAACTCAGATTCTGAAATGGTTAAAAAACAAAGTTAAAAGTAGTTTTAAAGAATTTTACTATTTTCTAGCTTTATTTACATTAAGCAGAAGGAAGCTTAGTTAGATACAAATAAAATGAAATTCTACAGTAGAAATCTTAGTCTGCCAAACCAATTATTAAAGAATATGGAAAATAGATATCTCATAAAAGTAATAAAATAATAGAACTTTTCACTAAAAAATAAAGGAAAAATTGAATAAAGACACATATGGATATCCATTATGGTTTGGGCATCCTCCTTAAGAGCTTACTGATATATTCACTCTCTTTCTAATCAAAGAACTTCCAAAACAGGTCAGAGAGTCAACTGATCACCAGCTTTCCTCTCTCCCCACAGGCCTCTGGCTGGGAACTCTTTCATGGGTTCACTCATTCAGCATACAAGTATATGTCATGCTATTATGGGACCCAGACACCATTCTCGACCCACAGGATTAGCTGAATCAGACCTAGCTGGTCTCCGCCTGAAGGCATTCACAGTGTAAGGCCATGCCTTTGTCCTCCATTCAGCAAATACTTATTGGGTGTATACGCATGCCAGGTAATGTTCTACAGCCCTGGGCACACTACAATGAACAAACGAAGGCCTTGCCTACATGGAGCTTACCTCCTAGCATAATAAATAAGTGAGCATGTATATATGTCAGGTGGTGACAACTGCTACAGAGAAAACCAAGCCTGAGTATGGCAAAGTGAACATGCAGGGGGCTGGCTGTACTCCACACAGGGTGGTCAGGCAAACCTCTGCTGCGGCTACAGAGCAGAACCAAAGGAAACGAGGGGCAAGCTGTGTGCAGCAAGCACATGGCTCTGAGAGAGTGCACTCCGCATGCTGAAGAGCCCGAGGAGAGCTGTGTGGCCGCAGCACAGTGGGCAAGAGAGATGGCCAGAGCCAGCTCCCACAGGGCTGTAAGGCTCAAGGGCAGAACTTGGACTTGACTGAATGCCACGGCGAGCCACGGGCGTTCTGGTTTGTTGCTTGAAGGTTACTTAACGGAAGTCAAGGCTCACCTGCAGCAGTCACCTGGCATGCCTGTTAAACATGGAGATTTATGGAATTTGCACCAGATCTTCCGAGTCAAGTGGGGACATAAGCTCCCAGGTGACCCTGATGGCACTGACATGTGGGAAGCACTGCTCCACGGAGGGCGCCGTGTGCCACTGCCTAATCACTCACTGTCAGTGAGCCTCCAGGCCTCTCCCTCAATTTTCCTGTCTCCCCTCCTCCAGGCCCACCACATTCACCCTGACTTCATTCACTTACTGCTCTCCACTACACACTCTTCCACACACAAACCAGCTGGCTTTGGCTTCATTTGCTTATTTCAGTCTAAACTGTCAGCAACTTGAACTCAAGACTCACATCTATCATTCTCCTTATAACTAAGATTCAGGTACAATATTGTACTCAAGGCAGGTAGGGACTTAATGAGTGCTACTGACAGGACAACCAAGGTTATCTAACATTCACATAGGCTGGAGTCAATTGAACAATTCTTGAGGCAATCAACTTGTAAACTAGAAGACCTGTATGTGTGTGCATGGGGCTGGGGGGAGGGGGGAGATTAAATTTTTAGAGCCAATTTTAGCTTCAAAGAAACCAGTTTTATTCTATCATAAAGATGAGGAATCTGAATAAGATGAGTCAAGTTCTTGCTGGAAGGAGAGAGATGAGGAGAGATGAGTTTTTCCTGTGGCACACATCCACATAACCATCCTTAGGTGACTTTATGATCCTAAATCTGTGACAGTCAAAAAACAATAGTAAACACCCTTCCACTACCGTAGAAGTCTTAACCCAGGCTAAGAATGGCTTTAACATCACATGAATAATTTGTTGCCCTAAGAAGATTAAAAACTCAATTAAAAAACACACACACGCACACCAATTATTACTTATCAGACACCAACCAGAAGATGGCACCACACTAATATCACCATCACTCTGCAGAAACTTAATTCTTCATGTCTTATTTTCATTTTACATTTACTTCAATGAATCATACCTGTCTGAAGAAAGCCTCCTTGCTTCAATTCTCCAATCACAGGTGTTAAGTCAGAGGCAATCTCTTCATATTCCAATTTATTCATCTTAATCCAGCTGAATTTACGTTGAAAAAGTCTTACATATAACTTCTGACCACTAACTGCAATAAAGTTAAAATAGTGAAAAATATTATTTTTCTTCTCAAAAACAACATACAAATATCATTTACTTTTAAAAACTGAGGTGAGTAAAATATATTCTATTAGGAATACACATATGATTACTCAACTAATCTTCCAAGAAAATCTTTCTCTTACTTTGGAAGATGTAATTTGTTTCAAATAGAAAGTCCCTATGGGGATGTCTCCTTGCCCCCTGTGCCTGTCATCAAAGGACAGGAAGAGCATCCAGGATGGAAAGCCCTGGACAAGCACCGCCACTTCTGAATTGTGTGAAAGTCACTGAACCTTATTGAGACTGTTTTCTCTTCTGTTAAAAGAAAAAGGATGGAGTGAGGAGGCAATAACACTCCCTTCCCAAAGTTGGTGGAAAGACTAAACAAGATAAGGTATTCTATGACAGTAAAAATGATGAAAAAAATTCCAATATTGGTAATGATTACTGACAATTTTTAAAATTCTAAGAACTAGGTTCCCCATGTTAAATTGCACGGAGGCAAACAACCAACTACACAACTACACAAACGCTCGCATGAATGCAACCAGCACCCAACCAAAGATCTGTGACTACTCTGGATAGAAGAGTCAATGCAGTATCATCATGTCCATGTTCTGGTGAGGGCAGCACAAGGAGAGATGGAAACTGTGTGGGTACTTTACGCAACTGTGCCCAAAGAAGTATCCTCCCATGTTCAAGAGTAATACAAGGAAAACCGTAAGATTCCACTCTGTGAATTTAAAACAAAAACCCCTCTCGTAAACATTAATAGGATTGTTCAGGATTTCTTTTTTCACTCTAGTGAGGAGTCAGACCTGGCTACACATAACTAGAGGACACTGTAGCTCCCAAGTAAGCTTTCCCCATCTCAGAAGGGACTCAGTTCCATAAAGATATCATGGCTCTTTGGATTAGCAGTGCAACAAGGGTGGCTGTTGTTCCAAACCTGCACTATCGGCTTAGAGCCACATCTGGCTGCCAAGGAATTGAGGCATAGACTAATATTTTTAAATGTACCAACTTAGCTTGAAAGTTTCCATTTCCTCCACACCCTGACTTTAAAAGGCAGAGTCCAGGAACCTGAAATATTGTTGGAGGAAAAAATATGTCTCAATACATATCACGGTCGGTTTGTTTTTTCCGTATTTTACTTTCATTTTTGAGGAAATGGTGTGCAAAAACAACAAAACAACTTAATAGTAAGCCAAACTGCATGCTTGAGATGCAAAGTACACTTTTCTAAGTCACACTGTTGTTTTTTTAATCTGAAAAAGGCTGTTTAACACCATCAAATATACATATAAAGAAAAAACAGCTACTATAACCAAAGTCTAGCTGGTAAGAATGATACTACAGGAGCAGACATCATCAGGCACGAAATCCTGTCTCTTCTATATGCATATCCCTCTCTGGATGAACCTTGTCGTAGGCTCTGATTCCCGAGTATACTCTCAGAGGACTCCCAGAACCACACTGACTCCTTGTGGCCATGAGATTACTGCCCATCACATCACCGCCCAAATCAGGACAGCAACTGGGAAACAAAAACTTGAAAGCAAACAGGTTTAAGATACCTGATAATTGATAAAATTTAGTTACAATTCCCTTCTCGTCTTCATCAAAGAGCATCCTATCATCTTCATTCTCAAACACAGCTTTCAGCACCACAAGGAAACTCCGAAGGTAGTAAGGATGACTCGGTGGTGCTGGGACTGTTTTACCAGGAATGTCACAGCTTGAGCCCTGCTCCAAAGGAATTATGTGAGTGATTTCATTCTTTAAGTCACTGACACCTTCCAGAGGAAGATCTTGGATGTTACTCCATTTAGAAGCATCCTGGGTAGAACAATATTTTGCTTCCCAATCTGACAACTGTGTTTTAGCTTCTGAAGCAGAAGTCATTTTTACCTCTTCACAACTACCTACCTCACAGTTTTCAACACTTTTACCATCTACTCCTTTGAAACTTGCCTGCCTTGCAAGACTGTCCTCTGAAGTAGACTGTAATTTATTCCCAGGAGTTAAATCTGGTGAAAATAACAGGGGAGCATTATCTGAGAAGGCAGGGGTCAGGATTGATATCCCACATTCGTGGGTAGCCTTTTGGCTTTCTGCTTCCATTATTGTAGCGCCTTCTACAGTATGTTCAGGACTACTCTGTTCCTTAAGAGAATCAGAGGCAAACATGTTTTCCTTTTGAGAACTGTTCTCCAAAATTTGATCCTTGTCCTCAATCTCTGAGCAGTTATCAAGCAGGCTCCTAACCACTGTGGATGAGGAGCTCTGTGGACTCTGATCGGCAAATTCTTCATCCTTATCTATTGATCTTTTAGCTTTCCTGTATCTTCTGGACAATTTAGATGACAGGCTTCCCAAAGGAATTACTTTCACATTATGATGTCTCAGCTCATCTTGAGTTCTGCACACCAAGCCAGCATTACTTTTAAAGTAGGGGCTGGTCTGCTGTTTGACGCCCACCTTTGCTGAATCACTTTGACCAGGGGTTAAATTTGTCTTCGATGGTGACAACTTCTTTGGCATTATATCTTCTAAGGCAATGTTGGTTAAATCCACTGTGGATGCATTTGAATTCATTAAGCCAACATGCCCTGGATCAACTGGAGTGCCGTCATCATCGTCAGCACACATTTCATCAAGGTGCCGGTTTAAGTCATATCTTGGCACCATTTTACTACAAATGGGGCAGGCAAGTTTAGCAGGTGGTGCATTGTTAAAAAAAGAAATAATAGAGTTGTTCGTAGATTCATTTTTTTTAGGTTTGCTGAGTGATAAACTTCTACGAGGTCTTTTTTTCTCAGGAGATTTCCCTTCTGACATCATGAACATTAGGAAAACTGGGTGTTTCGAGTAATAAAACACAGGGTATCACTGCGGAAAGATAGCAATGGTTTACTTTTACTCCCCTGACTTGAAATAATAAAAAGCGGGATTCTATTGGACTTCATGTTATTTGTTTAGACAATTTCTTCTTCCTACAAAATAAAACACACGTGGATTAAAAACATTATTATGAATTCAACAACAGAGGGAAAAAAGTAAGCTCTAAAACATGCAATAGCAGTATCTCCTGTGATAAGGAAAAACCACTCCGAGTTCCACACGCTATCTCAGCGTGACACTTAGCCATAACATGACAGCGCTGGACTTCGTAGGGATGATCTCTAAGACCTCTCTTTAAGATCTAAAATTACCAATTTTTAAAAAGGGAAAACTTCACTATTCCACATTCCTTTTAAAACCACTGCATCATTAACTTTTGCGGGGGAGCAAATGCCTTTCTGCGCAACCCCTAGGGTCACTCCTGCCTCACAGGCCTGCGGAGAAACGCCCCAGCTCGGGAGCATCTGTGAACACGCCTGGAGCCCGCGCTGCAGCTTCGGCCACCGCGGCCGCGCACCTGGAATGGGCTGCGAGGCTCCGCCACCGAGCCAGGTCGCCCGCCCAGCTACCCGCCCTGCCGCCCTCCTCCCACAGCTCCCCCGCCCGGCCAGCCGCGCCCGCGACCCCAGCCCGCCCGCGACCCCAGCCCGCCGCCACGCACCTCCCACCAGGCTCCGCGCGCCCAGGCATTCCCAGCCGATCCCCGCGTCTCGGCTCGCACAGGCTCGGCAAGTGGAGGCTCGAGTGATCGATCTCCTCCCCCGTCCATGTGAAAGGCTGTCCTTCCATCTACGGTGGCCGCGGCTGGCCGTGTCCTTGCGAGAGGCTCGTGCACCTCCTTGCCTTCACGCCTGGAGAAGGCTGACCGCCCGGGGCGCCCCTACACGTGCACTCGGAGGGAACCTCGGTTCCCCAGGCGGTGGGAAGGTTGCTTGTCGGGGGAGTATTAGCATTCACTGTCGAAGGGAAGCGGCCTCCCGGGAGAAGACGCAGGCATGGACGCTACTTAACCAGTGCCAGCGAGTCAGCAAGGAGGGCGGCTCAGCGCCGGCCGGGTTTTCCAAAAGATGTGCTGTTCGCCGCCTTGATACAATAGACGTAAATAACCGCAAGAGCACAGGAATAATAAAATGTAGCCAAGTAATTAGGGAGTGGTGAGTTTGGAGTATTCATTCCTTTTGTTTTTAATAGTTTAATTGTGAGGTTATATAATTTAATTTATAATAATGGCTATGTTTTTTTTTCTTCCTGCTTTTTTTTCTCCCCAAATCTCCCCAAATCCAGTACATAGTTGTATATTTTAGTTGTGGGTCCTTCTAGTTATGGCATGTGGGACACCGCCTCAACGTGGCCTAATGAGAGATGCCATGTCCGCGCCCAGGATTGGAACCCTGGGCCACCGAAGCAGAACGCGCGAACTTAACCACACGGCCACGGGGCTGGTCCCTAACAACGGAAAAATTACTGAAAGTTTATCAGTCAGCTCTTGAGTGCTGATACCAGCAGGTTCCAGCATCCCCCTTAGTGACCCAGAACGTAAGCTTTCTGAGTGCAGGGGCTGCGTCTTTGCTCTTTCCCACCGCCTGCAACAGTGGCCAGCATGTGTAATTACTCCACAGATATGTGTCGAATGAATGCATGAGTAAACCAACTCAAAGAGAAAAGGGATGTGAATAGGGAATTCATCAACGAATACGTGTCAAGTGCCTACCTGTGCCACGCCATGTTCTTGGTGCTGAAGATACCGCAGTGAACAGAATGAAGAATGCGGGGTTGGGGGGGGGGATGTGGGGAGGGCGTGGGGTGCGGGGGCAGGTGGAATCTCTGCCTTCATGGAAAATACATTCTGATGGAGGAAGATATGGAAAAAAAAGAAATCAATTAGGTAGACAATGAAAAGATGAGTACTTTGAAGAGAAATAAAGCCAGGAACATCACGGTGAGGGTGGGAAGAGGGATTACAATTTCAAGGAGTGGTAAGGAAAGGGGCTTCACTGAAAAGATAACATTTGAGCAGACTTAAAGGAGTGGATATTTAAGAGATTACATGTTTGAGAGCAGTGGGTATTTGAGAGAAGAGGATTGTAGGCAGAAGAAACAGCAGCAGAGAGTGCATCCTGAGGCAGAAGCTTGCCTAGCAAGTCTGAACACCTAGAAAACCACAAAGCCTGGAGCAGAAGGAGAGTGAGAGAAGTGGCAGAGAGCAGATTGCGGTGGGGGGGAGCAGGAGGCAAACTTTCTCCGTAGAGGGCCAGGAAGTAAATATTTTAGGCTATGCTGGCCATAGGGTCTCTGGTCACACTCTCCTCTTCACACTCTGCTGTTATAATGTGAAAGCAGCCGTAGACAATATGTAGCAAATGAGTGTGGCTGTATTCCAGTAAAACTTTATTTACAAGTATAGTCAGCTGACCAGATTTGGCCTCTGCCTATAGTTTGCTCACACCTCATATAAGGCCATTCAGGTCATTATATGGATTTTAGCATTTACTTAGAGTGATGTGGAGGGACCACTCTGCCTGTTGTGTTAAACATGGATGATGAGGGGAGGGCAAAGGGTGAAAGAATGGGAGCAGGGAAAACAGAAGGCTAATGAAGTAATCCAAGGAGAGATGATGGTGGCTTGGGTCAAAGTGCTAGCACTGCAGTTGATAAGAAGTAGTCAGATTCTGGATACATTTAGAAGGTATAACTGACAGATTTTGTTCATGTTAAAGGATGTAAGGTATGAGAGGAGGACAAAACTCAAAGGCTACTCTTAAGTCTTTGGCCTATCAACTGGAAGGATGGAGGGGAAAGAGCAAGAGTTCAGACATCTGTCTTAGTCCATCCAGGCTGCTCTAACAAAATACCACAGACTGGGTGGCTTATGAACAACAGAAATTTATTTCTCACTGTTCTGGAAGCCGAAAGCCCAAGATCAGGGTGCCAGCATGGTGGACGAAGGCCTTCTTCTGGACCCCAGACTTCTCACTGTATCCTCACATGGTGGGAGGGGCTAGGGAGCCCTGTGGTGTCTGTTTCATAAGGGTACTAATCCCATTCATGAGGGCTCCACTCTCATGACCTAACCACCTCTCCAAGGCTCCGCCTCCTAATACCATCACAGTAGTCATAAGGATTTCAACAAATTTGGGAAGGACATAAACATTCAGACCACAGCAACGTGTACGTTTGAAATGCCAATAAGACATTCTTGTGGATGAAAAGACACTTGAATTTATTTATTAAATCAGGTCAGGAAATAGAAATTTGGGAGTCATCAGGGTTTATATGGTACAGGCTTTATATGGCACCAAGGTGTGCCTGTAAGATAATCAAATGGTCAGAAGACTGAACAGTGCAATAAAGAGAGAAGAGGGAGATGAGGGTGAGCCAGCAAAGGAGTATGAGAAGTTAGCAGCGAGGAAGGAGGGAAACAGAGAGTTGGCATCCAGAAAACCAGGTGAATAAAATGTGTTGAGGATTAGGGGGGTGTCAGATGCAGCTAGAAGGGAAGTAAGAAGAGGACTGAGAGCAGCCATTAGACCTAGCAATGTGGAAGGCATTTGGTAACTGACAAAAGCCACTGTTGTGGAATGGTGGGATGACTGAAGAGAATTCAGGAAAGAATGGGGAGACAGGGATTGGAGATAACCCATTCAGAACCCCAGTGTTGGCATGAAGATTACTTTAAGCTAAAGACATTTGGAATTCAACAGATGCAAAAAGAAGCCTTCTTGTAGCTTCCCTTATATGACTAAAAGCAGAAGCTTTTGGGAAATGATGCTGCCATAAATTCCCTCTTTGGGGTGGCTTTCATTAGGGAAGGAGACCAAGAGTAAACCTACCATAACTTCCCTCTCTGGGGGAATTTTAGGACCATGAGGACGGAAAGACCACTTGCACCTATGTGAACAAACATCACAAACTTTTTTATCTCCCATTTGTTCTTCTAGAAACCCATTTGCTCTTTCCCAAAGACCTTTTCTCCCCCAGCTCTTTTTCTCTATTAAGTTAGATTTATAAACCTCTAACTTGAATCATTTATCAATTCTTGCAATTCTTTTGTAAGCTCTCATAATGTATACAAATAATTTTCCTGTTAATCTGTCTTTTGTTGGTTTAATTCACAGGCCCCCAGGAACTAAAACTAAGAGGGTAGAGGAAAAGTTTTTCCTCTTCAACAACAGGAATTACAGACAACTCTTTCAAGAGGTTTTGCGGTGAAGGAGAGCAGAGAGGTAGGGCAGAGCTCAAGGGGGAATTGGGGTTAAGAGTGTTTATTTAAGATGGAAAAAATAATATGTTTATATACTGATACGAATGATCAAGGAGAGTGAAAATTTGATGAAGCAGGAGAGAGAAAGGAGACTTGCTGGAGGAGTGTTCTTAGGTCGGTGAGAGGACAGGATACAGTTCACAAGGGGATGGCCTTAATTAAGAGTTCATCCATAGTAACAGGAGGCAAAGTGTGGCCACCAGTGGTGGTAGGATGGGCAGATATAGAGCAGAGAACTTGAGGAAGTTCTCTGATTACTTCTGTTTTCTCAAAGTCATCTGCCAAGAGTCAAGAGGAGCAGAGTGTTTGGAGATTTTAGGAAAAGGGGAAAGATATGGAGTGGTCATTTAGGAGTGTGGCAGAGGGAAAGGGCAAAGGAAAGAGAAAATGACTGCCAACAGCATTGAGGACCCACCCGAAGTTAGTGATCATGAATTTAAAGTGAGATCTAGCAAGAGTTGCATGTTTTTCTTGAGCCACATTTAGCCACACAAGTGCAGACAGAGAGAGGTACAAAGGTAGATTTAATCATAGTTGGGTTTTTTACCAAATAAGTATGAAGCAGCAAGGGAAAGCAAGAGAGTTGAGTGTTTATACAAAGAAAGAATTAAAATGATGGCTAAGGATGGAGTGCAAACATGCAGGCGATTGTGGACAAGGGACAATGAACAGATGGTTGGATCAGGGGACTGGATGACCCAGATGGGTTAAAGGATCGCTCAACTGGGATTTGAGAGTGAGAGAGCCAGTGGGATAGGAGGTGATGGTCAGAGAGCGGGATGTTTGGAATTAGGATAATGGGGGAGGTGCAGTTATAGGAATCACATTAAACTAATGTAAGATCACGCATGTGTATAGCTGAAATGGGGTGCAGGACAAGATCAATGAAGAGGTGGTCAGGGAACTGAGAAGCCAGGATAGAGGGAAGGATCCTGTAGATGAATACTGAAATCATCAAGAATTAAGACAGGACTAGTTTAGAGAGTGACTGTGCAAGGAATGAGAAGAAGTGATTGTGCTGGCGGGAGGACAAGGAAGTGGTCGGTAAATGACTGTAACAAGAGAGCTAGCAATGACCTAATGACTTGAGATTCAAAGATGGGAGTGGAGGGGTTTAGAGAGGCAGAGAGAGTGGCCTGAAGTGGCAATGAGAAGCAAGGGTAACTAATCTATCCGTCTCCAGGCCAAGTGAAGACTGGGGGGGAAAAAACGAGCCACCATTTGAAAAAGCTGTTCAAGAAGCAATGTCCTTGGGAGAGATTCTGGTTTTTCTTAGTTGTAGGGATTAGCAGACGTTTTAGGCCATACAATCTTTTCCTGGTATGGTGAATCTTACTTATGTTCCCAGTTTCAAAATAATATTTTAAATTCATAAAATAGGCAGACTTCTGCTTCCAGATAGGCCAGAATAAAAGGAACCAAAGTTAACCTCCGGCTTTAAACAACTAGAAGACCAGACAAAATATTATGAAATAATGGTTTTCAGATATTTGAAAGAGGCAGTGCAGGATTGTGGTCCCTGAGAGAGGGGAAACACGCGAACCCAATGATTGTACAAGCTCACCGTTTGGAGGCAGCTTCCAGGCCACAGCACAGGGTCTTGCTGAGTTTAGAGAGAGACTAGAATTCAGGGAAGCCAAAGCGGCTGGAGTTTGTGGGGCAGAATCCCTGAGAGGAGGAAGCTGCACCTCTCCAGGGCTCCAGAGATCTACAGGGCAGGGCCCCTTGAGACTTTGGCTGAATAATGATCTACATAGACTTAGAGCTAGAGAGAGAACAGCCAGAGAAAAAATAGGCAGACCAACTCACAGAGCCCTAGACTAAATTCTGCCCTGCACTCACCATAATTAAGCTAAAAGCAAGTCTCAAAAGCATACGACCAATTCCAAGTAATGGAACTGCACAGCAGAACAAAATCCAACACTATTATGGGAATGCAATGAATCCAGTACCCAACACAGTAAATGGTACAGTGCACTGAGGAAAATCTGGCTAGTCTATCCAATAAATGGCTTTTAAGAACTGGTTACCTACGTGGAAAAATGAAATTGGGTCCCTCTCTCATACCAAATACAAAGATTAAGGCTAGAAGTATTAAAGTAACAAACGTGAAAAGCAAAAATCAAAACTTCTAGAAGAAAATATAGAAGAGTAATTTTATTATCTTGAGGGTGTTATAGGATTCCTGAAATGAGATAAGAAGTGCTAACCATAATATAAGAGATGGATAAACATGACTGTAGTTAAATTAAGAGGCTTCTAGTCATGGCTATTTCCATTTCTAGTAAATGACCAATGTAGCTTGTATTTCATTGGGCTAAAAATCTTGCCAATAACAAGTATAAACAATGTGTAAATTATAAGCAATATAAAATTATATAAACAAATGTTTGGCTACAGTTTTAAACAAATTATAAGGAATATAAAAATAATGTTTAAAAAAACGCCTATTTGAATAACCAAAAGCAGGCAGACACTGGAGGGTAGTAGCAAAAATACTAATGTATGGTAGGGTTTATAACATGTAGATGAATTATATATGACAACAAAGCAAAGAGGATGGGAGTGTAAATGTAACTATATTGCTGCCAAGGTCTCATATTTTATATGAAGTGATAAAATATTAACTCTAAGTAGACTGTGATAAGTTAAGGATGCACATTGTAATTCCTAAACAACTACAAATTAATGCAAAGAGGTAGAGCTAATGAATTAATAGAGAAATTCAAATAGAATATTAACATATTTTATTAACTTTATTTGATTACAAAGTAGGAAAAAAGGAACAGAGAAATAAAATTAGAAGGGAAGAAGAGAAAATAAATAGCAAACTGGTAAAACCAAATACAACCAAACCAATAACTACATGAAATGTGCATGGACTAAATACTCCAATTAAAAGACAGATCTCGTTAGATTAGACTTAAAAAGCAATCCCTAACTTCGTGACATATATAAGAGACAGATGCAATTTGAAAGTAAGAGAATGGAAAAAAACATATTATTCAAACACAGATCAAAAGAGCTGTATCATCATATTGAAAGTAGACTTCAAGACAGAGTACTACCAGAGAAAAAGAGGTCATGTTATAAAGTCAAAAGGGTCAATTCATGAGGAAGACATAAAAATCATAAATGCATATATACCTAATAAAAGGGCTTCAAAATACATGAAGCAGAAACTGACAAAATTAAAGAAACAGACAAATCCACAATCCTAGTTAGAGATTTTAACATCCTTCCCTAATTCATAGAACTAAACCAAAGAAAATCAATAAAGATAACTGAACAAAACTATTAAAGCTTTGAACTAATTGAAATACAGAACATTACATTCAACAATGGTAGAATGCATATTTTTTCCTTTTCCCAGTGGTATAAGTTTAATAACTCTGAAAATACTTGTATATTCTAGGCTTGAGCAAATGAATAAATATATTGAAGATAACGAAAGTAAGATTTCTCACTGTTGGAAAACACATTACAAATATGGAAAGAGTGAAAACTGGAATATAATCTGCAGTGGTATTGGATTTGAACTGGAGGTAGCAGTATCAAGTCATGCATGGAATACATCACACACAAACACACACACACTCACACACACACAAAACCACAATTTCCTGTCTGTTGAGTGGGCCTAGAAGCAGTAGTAGCAATGAGCGCACCTAGCACCTAGATCTTTGTTTGGAAATACCATTCTCCACTAAGAGGAACCAGGTTCTTTGGAAAAATGGTTGATGTCAGGGAAAGTAAAGGATAAGCCTTTACTTAAGGAATATTTTGTAGCACCAAAAAATAAAGAAATGCTCAAAAGAGTGATGGGGATACATCAGAACTCAGGAATCAGTTTTTTAAATTGAAATATATTTGATATATAACACTGTGAATTTAAGATGTACATGTTAATTTGATACATTGATGGAAGGGCCTTCCATTTGACAAGTCAGGCACAACTAGAGCATCAAAATGATAAGAAAGGATTATAAAGCATTGAATAATATAAAAATCTGAGTCTATACTGATAAAAATGAATGAGAAGGGAAAGCTCTTCCTTACAGTAGAATGTCAATTAATAGACATAGAAGAAATGATCGAGTGAGAAAATCATCAATAGATGCTAAAAGTTTTGAGTGAAAGTTTGGTAAGGAACAGGATATTTACAGCATCAAAGTATCTCCCTCACAAATTACTTACTAATTAAAAAGGAAAAGTATAGTGGGGAGACGTGGTAGTTGTCAAACTGCTGCTTTTCCTCACCAGCTTCGTTGGTACAAACTGCTATCCTGAACCTCTGTATATGCAGTACTGAAGACACACCAGTGCTTTGGTGTTCCTGCCAAAATTGCATCACCTGAATCTAATCTTGAGAAAACAGATAAATCCAATTTTGAGGGACATTCTATAAAATAACTGGCCTGTATACTTCAAAAAGGTTACAGTAAAGACAGACAAAGGTAGGCTCAGGGCTGTTCTGGATTACTGGAAGCTAGAGAGACATGACAGTCAAATACAATGAGTGATCTTGGAAGGATCCTGCACCAGGGAAAAGAGCTATAAAGGATATTATTGGGACAACTGACCAATTTGAGTATGGCCTGTGGATTAATAGCATTATATCAATGGTAAATTTCCTCATTTTGGTAATTATTCTGTGGTTACAGAATTTTTTAATCCTGCCAATACCAAGTGCTGACAAAGATATGATTAAGTGCAAATTTGTAAAACTACTTTGAAAAACAACTTGGCATTATCTTTTGGACTCTACCTACCAATTCTACTCTAAAGTACATTAAAGCCTAGAGTGTAGACTAGCACTGTGTGGGAAGAAGATGCTCAAAAGGCATTATTCAATAGCGTAAAACTGGAAATAAATGTCTTAAAGAGAATAGGTAAATAAAACTGTAGTACATGCATCAAGTATTATGCAGCAGTGAAAATGAACAAACAGCATTATGGATGAATTTGAGGGAAATCAACAGTGAAGAAGCAAGCCATAGATGAGTACATATAGTACTGTTTTCATAAAATTCAAGTACTAGCAAAATTAAACAATACATTACTAGGGATACATGCATATAGAGTAAAATATATATAAATGTGAAGGAATGGTAAAACCAATGCAGAACCATGGTTCCCTCTGTACATAGGCAAGTGAAGCAGATGGAGAAGAGCATATATTGGTTTGTGCTTTAGGTAAAAGGTGGTTTCACAGATACTATATTATGCTTCTAATTTATATAGAAAAAGTGTGTACATATTCCACCAGAATGCACACTTCATAAGTGTAGGAATTGTTATGTTTTGCTCCATTATATCCCTGGTTCTTAGAACTGTGCCTGGCACAAAGCAAGTATTTAAAACAAATATAACCTTCAGAATGTATCAAATATTATCTTTAAAAAGTGAATGAACTGATACATCTCACCTAGATGTGGGGGAAAAAAGGGAAGATAAAAGTGACTTTTTTTTAAAGATTGGCACCTGTGTACCATCTGTAACCAATCTTTTTTTTTTTCTTCTTCTTCTTCTCCCCTAAGCCCCCTGGTACCTAGTTGTATATTCTAGTTGTGAGTGCCTCTGGTTGTGCTATATGGGATGCCGCCTCAAGATGACCTGACGAGTGGTGCCACGTCTGCGCCCAGGATCCGAACCAGCGAAACCCTGGGTCGCCGAAGCAGAGCACGTGAACTTAACCACTGGGCCACGGGGCCGGCCCCTGATAAAAGTGATTTTAACTCTGCAATGATCAAACTGCCCTTGTACAAATAAAATGAATCATCACTCCAGGGTCAAACATCCTGATCCCAACAAATTATTATGAAAGAAACAAACAAGGGAAAGAGAACTAAGCTAGCAGTGAGATGGGACTGGCAAATTGAATTTAAAGAGAAAATAGGAACTGCTAGGGGCATATAATACTCAAATCACCACCAAAAAAAAGACCTTTCCCCTAAGGTTAGAGATCAGGGGGTTACTCAAACTGTTAGAAGACAAAGGCACACCGGTGAAGAGAACTCCACCTGAATACAACTCGCAACAAATCACCACTCAGTACTGACTGGGGCCCAGTTCAGGCCGGGTCTACCCCAGGTGGCCAGCTTCTGAATTAGTAAGCAGCAATGCAGGGTGCAAACCTCCAAGGGCTCCTCTTGACCAGTGTATTGTCCTCTGTAGATGAAAACCCATAAGGGCTTGTCCTATTGCTTCAACTGAAGCTCAGTTCTCATTTTCTACCCATCTGGAGGAAGGCTTAAGGCATTTCCATCAAAGCACAATATGACATCCTGTCAGACAAAAGGCAGTTTTCCCTGGAAGGGGAGGTTGAACCAAAGAGCACCTGGGGATCCTGGAAGATCCTCCACAGATTGTCAGTCTACCTTCCTAGCTGTGTTCACCTCCTATCACATCAGGATCACACCTGTCCTCTATGTACCTGACTGGACAGTGCTCTACAGCCTAAGTGAAGCTGTGCTCAGGTGACATCAGATCATTTCCCAAGGGGAAGGATGTAAGGCCTCAAATCTCACTGTTTTGTGAAAGATGACAGGGGAGTGAGAGAAGAAAATCAAGCCCACTGGCCTTCACATCGGCCCCAGTGAGAGCACACTGTGGGAAGGGCCTTGAGAACTAGGTCCCGCTTCACACCTAGAGAAAGCAAGACAGGGCTTTCCAAAGACAGTGTGGAGTTTGTCTTTTCAACCTGTGGAATTCTCAAATATCTGTCACCCACACAAAGAAAAGTTCTCAAAAATTTTACTATAAAACAAAACGACAAAATATAAGCTTACACTTTAATATTTACCTTATATTCAACATATATTACAGCTTTAATTTATGAACAGAAATGTCCTGTCTTGTCTTCTTTTTCTTCTCTGTTTTCTTTGCATCATTAATTTGCATTTTGACTTGATCTTGTAACTTAGAAAAGAATGCTTGAGACGACTTTAAGGCTTTGTCTTTACCTTCATCCTGCAATTAAAAATAATACGTGCTCATGCTATAAAATATGCTCATGAGTAAAAAAAGCCAAATGATTACAATGTGTAAAAGTAGACATATGAAAAGGGACTAGAAGAAATCATGAGAAATGAAACCAGTGAGCATGGAGGTATCATATACATTCTATGCTGCTACACTCTTCTAGTTATTTAAGGGTGAAGGGAGTGAAGAAAAACTGCTGCCAGGACCCAGGGGACTGTGAGGACCCTCCATTAAAAACTCGAGACAGTGAGGCTGTTATTCCAGCCAGTCGCCAGTGGCCTCTCCTCCCACAGGTGGGCGGTGTCAATGGCTCAGTGGCTCCAGTGGAGCGCCATCACCTACAGCTCGCCATCTGCTTCCTCCCAAAGGCCTCCTTCAGTAGTTTTCTCTCCTGCACCCTTACCTTTAGCAGCAAAGCTCTGCCTGTTTTGGTCAGCTGTTTTATCTTCTCTGAAGCCACTGCCTTCGTGTATTTCCCTGCTTGGTCTGGGTTACTGTTTTCAAGCAGTTTTCTCCGCTTTTCCTTCTCCTTTATTTTCAAATGCTTTTGGTATTTCTTTTTCCTCCGTTCTCGTTTCTTGTCTGTAGCTGTTTTCTCAGCAGCTGTTTTTATATCTCCAGCTTTATTTTTTTCCTAAAAACAATAACCACCAGCATATTAGTTAATCGAACCTAGCATCAACTTAGGGAAGTGGAAGAGAAGCAATTCTACAGAATGTGGCCAAAGGGCTGTATGTCTACAGCCAAGTGTGAATACACAGAGCAATCCCTACCTCTGTTCCAAAGAGCTTTGGTAACTCAGCTCTTTAAGATCTGCAATGCATTCTCTGACAGAACAGACTCTTACAGTGGCGGTTCACTTCCCAAACTGCTTCATGAAGGCAGACTGGAGGGCTGGGTTGTCAAGCTGACAGTCCTAGAGAAGCAAGCCTCCCCCAGCACTTAAGACTCCAGTCTGGGATTCAGGGACATGCCTGAGGCAGCCCCAGTGCTAAGCAGCTGATGACAGCCACTGAGCTGACAGCAGGGGCTCCTGGAGACAAACAGGAAACACCTATCCAGTGAGATCAATTTCCTCTCTTTTCTCCTCAGCTGCCAGCCTAGCCTGCCAGGGCTGTCACCTGCAGAGATGGCAGAGGTTCTGAAGGGGTGGGTGTGGGAGTAGCAAAACAAGTGAGGAGGGAGAAAGAGGGCCGTGCTGCTTGGCCAGCCAGGAAGATGAGGTCCTGGCAGAAACCATCGTTACTGTGTAAGGCATGAGCTTCAATGTCCACAGGGCAGGGACTGCCTGTAGTCTTCCAATACCCAAATGCTCTATTCCAGACCCTGATTCCATTACTGAAAATCACTAAATGGATAAAATAAGGGGGAAATGCTGATATTAAAGGATTACTAATATATAAGCAATTTATTTTAAACCTAACCACCACTAGTGTTCAAATTGGATTATAACAAGATACTGATATTAGAATATTTACAAATAACCTTCTATAATAATTCTTATACCTGAACCCTCATAATAATATCTGATTATAGAAGACTGGTATTCCAATATACATATTACATTATTAGTCTGATTATACTTAGGAACCGCTGATACATTAGAATAAGAACTACAAACTCAAGGAAAATGACATTACATAAATGGAGATCTGGCTATAAACTAACTTTTTGACAGATATTTATTGTTTCAACACTGGGTTCTTACCTTGACTTCCTCTGGGGCCAGGAGAGCTGCATCACTAACGCTCACTGGGGCCACTTCCTCCATGGTTATGGCTGGCAGATTTGACACAACTTTAATCTCTGGAACAGGCTAGAAAAAAGAAACATTTAACAGGAAGTCAAAGGTCTAAAAAATATTTGTATTGTGAACCTATTAACTTATAACATATAAAATACTTTGTGGAGATTATTTAAAATGTGAGATGTGTTGACAGCAAGTCTTAAGCTAACTGGAATGATGGCAGTGTTGGTGGGCAGCATGGGCTGCCTGAGGAATCTTATACCTGAGTATTTTAGGGTCTTCTCTGTCTCAATACTACACCAATAGCACTTATTTCCACACTTTTGCATGACATTTCTGCCATATTCAAACACTAGTTCTTCCATCTGTTACTAAACTATTTCCATCTGCCATGTATGTGGACATTCTCAAACAATCCTATCTACTGTTTAACAGAATCTATTGATTTCTGTGAATATTATCTTCCATTTGGTTATGGAAAAAAGGCTAGCTATAAGAAATATATGGAGGGGGACGGCCCCGTGGCCAAGTGGTTAAGTTCATGTGCTCTGCTTCAGCGGACCAGGGTTTCACCAGTTCGGATCCTGGGCAGACATGGCACCACTCACCAACCCATGCTGAGGTAGCATCCCACAGAGCACAACCAGAGGCATTCACAACTAGAATATACAACTATGTACTGGGGAGCTCTGGGGAGAAGGAGGAGGGAAGGGAAAAAAACGGATGACTGACAACAGATGTTAGTTCACATGCCAATCTTTAAAAAAAAAAAAAAAAGAGAAATATATGGAAAAGATGCAAGGAAAAATGTTTAGCAGAACAAGAGTCAAAAAAGACTACAGTCACGCATCACTTAACAACGGGGATACATTCTGAGAAATGTGTCGTTAGGTGATTTCATCATAGTGAAAATATCAGAGTGTACTCACACAATAGATGGTATAGACTACTACACACCTAGGCTATATGATCCAGTCTTATGGGACCACCATCACATATGCAGTCTGTGGTTGACTGAAACGTTGTTATACAGCACATGACTGTACCTGATAAATTTTCTCATCTTCCAGCTAGTGAAAACGTATCTTTACAAACAGAAATGTGAAATGATGTTGAACTGTTTTGGAAAACTAAAACAGTATCAAAATAAATCCAACCTATCAATTATAAAAAGGAAAAAAGAATGCAACACTAATTGAAGGGCCATTTTTTTGTTTTCCTTTTTTTGAAAGAACTGCCCAAGAAATTCAGAAATTAAAACAAGTTTCATACTGATCATGGTAATAAAAGGACAATGGTGACTATTTATCAAACACTTACAATAATGTCTTTACATTCTAACTCTCACACATCTCTGTGAGGGACACCTGGGGACAAGAACTGCTGGCCAGAGTGGGGTAACAGATGAAGTGTAGGAAAGAGCAGGTCTCCTGGAGAGAGCATGGGACTGAGACTCAGGAGAAAGGGCTCTACAGCAAAGCACATCACTACCTCCTTCACAGACTTAGTCTCCTTGTCTCAGCCCTATGCTGTCCACATTCCAGTTAACTAGACAGATATGTGCCCCAGGATACTTCAGAAGGAACAAAACAGCCATAAACACAACGGAATCCTGGATTCTAAATAAGAGAAAAATGGCAGAGTGTGGAGTAAATCATTTCTTCCACTGGACCACTGTTCAATTACTTATGAGGAACACTGTGTTCCATTCTAAAATTTAAAGAAAAATATGGAGAAAATGGAGACAACCCCAAAAAAATAACAAAAAAACATGACTAAGGTTAACAGAGTCTACAGAGATGGCTCATGAAATACCAACCTGAGGGGAAACCTATGCTCGAAAGTCTACATTTCTGA